GTTTTATTGATCTGGAAACCTCTGACATACCGAAAGCAGGAAAAGGAGCAAGTGAAGTAGAGGTGGAAACCAAGCCGCAGAAGAAGCCATTTGTGTTGATCACACCAACAGTTCACACTGGCTTCTCTTTCTCTATTGTACATCTTCTATCAGCCGTACGTATGGCAATGACAAGTTTGCGTCCTGAAGATTCATTAGATGTTAGCAAATCTGTGGCAGTGGAGAACGCAGAACATGAAACTGGAGAAAATGGTGCCTCCGTGCCCAAGGAGGCAGAGGATAACAAGTCGCCACAGCAGGGAATTGGGAACTTGCCATCCCTCACTATCCAGGAGATTGTTAGCTGTGTGAAGTCAAACCCGGGAGATCCTTGTATCCTTGAGACACAAGAGCCACTTCAGGATTTGATTAGAGGGGTTCTGAAAATCTTCTCTTCGAAAACCTCGCCTTTAGGGGCAAAGGGTTGGAAGCCACTTGTAACATTTGAGAAGTCCACGAAATGCTGGTCTTGGATTGGCCCTGTTCTCAGTCCTTCTGATCAAGAGACTGTTGAAGAGGTAACATCGCCTGAAGCCTGGGGTCTCCCGCACAAGATGCTTGTCAAGTTGGTTGATTCGTTTGCAAATTGGCTGAAAAATGGCCAGGAAACTCTTCAGCAAATAGGAAGTCTTCCTGAACCACCGTTGTCACTCATGCAGTGTAACCTTGATGAGAAAGAAAGGTTCAAAGATCTGAGAGCACAAAAGAGCCTTAGTACGATTACCCAGAGTTCTGAAGAAGCAAGAGCCTATTTCCGCAAAGAGGAATTTCTGAGGTACTCAATTCCGGACAGAGCCTTTGTGTACACAGCTGCTGATGGTAAGAAGTCAATTGTTGCTCCTCTGAGAAGAGGGGGAGGGAAGCCAACCTCGAAAGCTCGGGATCATTTCATGTTGAAACGCGAGAGACCACCACATGTCACAATTCTGTGTCTTGTGAGAGATGCTGCGGCCAGATTACCTGGTAGTATTGGGACAAGAGCTGATGTTTGTACCTTAATAAGAGACTCGCAGTATATCGTGGAGGATGTGTCTGATTCACAAGTGAATCAAGTCGTGAGTGGGGCCTTGGATCGTTTGCACTACGAACGGGACCCTTGTGTCCAATTCGATTCAGAGAGGAAACTGTGGGTGTATCTACACAGAGACAGAGAAGAAGAAGATTTCGAGGATGATGGTACTTCATCCACAAAGAAATGGAAGAGACCAAAGAAAGAAGCTGCAGAGCAAACAGAAGAACAAGAAGCTGTCACTGTAGCTTTCATTGGGAATGAAGAACAACCCGAAACTGAGATGGGTACAGATCCAAAGACGGATGAGCCCACTGGTTTGGACGGAGATCAAGGTGCAGCAGACCAACTGTGTAACGAGACTGAACAAGCTGCAGAGGAGCAAGATAATGAGAACACCGCTCAGGGTAACGAGCCAACGATATGGGAGCCTGATCCTGCTGTTGTTTCTAATCCGGTTGACGAGAACACATTTATCTGCCAAGAGAACTCAGTGAATGATGATTTCGATGATGAAACATGATCGGTGATACATTACCAGGTAGGTCTCAAACACTCTCTTTCATATTCAGATCTCATTGATCATAAGTTATGATCTAAGTCCCCCTGAGTCTAAGTCCACTCCCGTTGTTTTTCAGGTGAAAAGGCCAAGAGGGTATTTGATTAACAGAAAGAGAAGCTTATGTGGATTTGTTGTATAATTAATTGTTTGGTCCCAATAGATGTCAAAAAAGAGTGAGATCACAGTCTCTCTCACAAACAGCGTTGAAAGGGTTATTCCTATTGTTCTCATGCCATCCATGTTTTTTTATTCTTAAAGAAAAAAAGAATAGAAGTTAGTTTAGTGATCAGTGTTATTTTGATTAAACATCAATATTTGATATATTATACGCCCTGTTCAAAAACGCGGACGCCTAGCCGCCGAGGCGGCCGCAAAGGCGCTCAACGGTGGACCTCCGCCGCGAATAACCCAAATCGGCCGTATTAATCGCTTGCTCGAGTAAATCTCCTGTTTGGAAGCTTGGGTGAAGTTATCTTGGCTTAGTTTCTTATAAATCTATTAGATCTATAAAAGTTTGGTACATAAAGCAAGAAAAACAACTAAAAATGGTGAAAAAAAAAATATTAAGACGGCTATTAGGGTTGGATGTCGCAGGGTATAAAGAGGAAGAAGGAAAGAAAATTACGATTTTACCCTTAATTAATAGGGAAATCCAAAAAAATGTGACCAACATGCGGGTAATGCGGGTCGAACTGAGGACTTGTGGAGTTTACCACCAAAGCTAGAGTGATTTTTGAAAAATGAATGCGGTAGTTTGTATATATTATAGATTTTAATAGAAAAGCCTTAAAACTAATTCCCGATTAATCCCCGTATAATCTCCGATTTTGTCGCTAGGCGCTAGGCCCACCTCGAGCGCCCGACTAGCGCCTAGCGATGTTTTGAACAAGGATTATACGTATAGTAAAAAAAAAAAAAAACGTTTCATAAGCAGGCAATATTCATGACGAAATGTTGGAATTCATTATGATATGATTGACATCAATCACAAATACTATAAAACTGAATAACCTTCGTATGTTTCTTCTTTTCTTTTTTTCGTATGGAAGTCTAAATTTGGACTAATATGTGTTATGCGTTTAAATTTGGACTTGTACAATTCTCAAAAGAAACTTGTTCCAATTTCTTATAATCCATCTCTCTACGTCACTTTATAAAATCACTTTCAGTTACTTCTAATAATGCATTTGTTTAACATCATTTTACAATTGATTTCCAAATTATCAATAGGTTAACTTCTATATATTCTCCAAAATCAAAGTAGAATATTTGACGGCTTAATAATACTATAATTTTAAATTTTTCATCCTTTTGCCCCTAAAAAAAAATCATCCTTAACACAACTACTTAAAACTTACATTCTATCTTAATAATTCTTTTTTTTTTGGTGGATTGAGCCTTTTTTTTTTAAAGTAAAACTTAAAAAGAAATTACATTCTAACATATCTCGGACATGTAGACCCTCGAACATCCTCCAGCTCGAATTAACACAATCTGGACTAGAACCGACAACAAAAAAGCATAGTTTGCTAACCTATATGCAAGACGGTTAGCTTCCTAATACATGTGTGAAATACAGACTATCCAGTCCTTTGTAATGAAGTCATAACACAAACGTAGTAGGAAAGAGGAAAGACAACGGATGCGAGTCGCAAATCCCTGTCGTGAGAAAACCAACCACAATCTCCGAGTCTATCTCAAGCTATAGTCTCCGAGTTAATAATTCTTTTATTGTAAATACACCATCAAACTTATATTGTTACAACTTATAACTTTAATGAAAACTCCAATACTTACGACTTTCTTTCTCACCATAACATAGGGAGAGAGGATGTCAATCGAATTTGTGCTTAAATGCTTTTGGCAAATTTGCACAATAGAAATCCAAACTAAAGTCACAAGCATATATACAATCAGGCACTTGATCATATTCAGTCAACTTCTTGTCACATGAATCACGGGTGGTAAAGACTTTGTCTTTGAAATATAAGGGATGTACATGATAACATGAACATCGTGGACGAACAGTTCGGAAACTAAGCTGCAATGTACGTCGTCTATAGTTGAGTATTCAAAGATTATGTTCCTCGTGGCTGAAATGGTTTATCAAGTCATCACCAACCACCTTAAAAGGAAGAACTTCAATTTCTTTGGCATTGCCTTCGAGTTCTAGATATCCTATCCCAAACTTTGTAACTGGTCGCACATTGCGAATGAACAAAAAATATGGGGCTGATGGAGCAAGAATAATCCCCATGGAGCTGGTTCACTTGTCGACGACAAACTCCGCAATCCGAATACCCTTGGCCAAGATGATTAGTGCGCGAGATCCAATGACCGTGACAATTGATGATTAATTATATAAATTGAGGTAAGTCGATACAACTTCGATGGACCATCACATTGAAAACATAAATAATGCATCCCACAAACATTACAAGTAAATGAGATTCGTATTGATAAAAGGGTAAGACGATGCTCATGAGTCTTAAAATTCTCAATAACAAGAGGTGGATGGCAATGCTATCAATAACAAGAGGTGGATGGCTTTTCACACAATTTCGACACACGATTGGAGTCACATTAGAAGCAACATCCTCGACATCCTCAAAATGTTGAAAGACATTTAGCTAAGAGCTTCACTACTACAGAACAACATTTTGTCTGATTATATCAGAATTGAGTACAAAGAACAAAACTTGCCGAGGATGTTGCTTCAATTACTGAATTCTGTTTACTAATCAAAATATTTACTTCCTAATTTTTTTTTAATAAAATGTGAATTGAGAGTTCTAAAAAAAAATGATATGAATAGAGTAATTATTTTCTGTTTTGTTTCTTAACATTTGAATGAGGGTAGTTATAGTATTTAATATTGATAAAATTCCATTTACCAAAATGACTATAAAAAGTATCAATTCCTTATATTTTATATTTTGAGAATTTTCTTAAATATTTTTTCAGGTAACTAATGATATCACTAATTTGTGAGATAAAAAATTATTACTAAAATCAATTTTGTTGTATTTAACATTATTTTGAGGACTTTTGTTTTTTCCAGAAAAAATCCATTAAAATGAGGATCTTTTGCAAATTTACTATTCATTTGTAAAATAAAAAATGCATGCCGAACTTAGGAAGTCGAATTTAATCCGAAATATAACCATCTAATGTATCTTTTAAGAGATTGTTTGGTCATGTAAATTAGGTTTTTAAAAATTTAAAGATATAAATTGTCTCATCGTCGCGAGAATTTTGATTTGATATATTGAGAGTTAAATTTGATTGCGTGAGTTTGATATGCATTTTGTGCAAGTTGTGGGTTAAACTTGCAATATAGAAAATGGTTTGTTCTATCACTTAATTTTTGGTTCTTTCAAGACGAAAGAACTATCCAATTAATATAAAAAATTACAAAAACATGAGAAAATGTAACACATCGAAGTTAAAGCTTAACATATTAAAAATCAAACTGAAAGTAAAATCATAAATTACACTTAAATAGAGGGGTAAATAAGTCACTAGAAGCCCATATTTTTTTTTCTTAAATCTATAGATATATGAAAGCCACATTTCACAGAACATGCTATGTTGGTGTATAATTTAAATATTTTACCTTGACAAGGATTCTTGCAATAATCGCATAACGGTCGAATACTTTGGTGAAGAATTTGAACCTCCATCCCTTTTACTTTGAAATTTTGATCATGCTTCATGTATGGGTCTTCACCCAATAAGCATTCGATATGAATAGTGGTGCAGCACTCATCACACCAATAGAACACTTTTGTGTTGGTATCTCCTAAATCACGTTCACATACCTCACACCAATCTTTATGACATACTTCTTTCCCATATAAAAGTTCGAGAAAATGTTTATCATGTTTATACCTTACTTTGTATGGTAAGGTAGAGCATTTAAAACATACAATAAAATTGCATTCAATGCAATTTAGTTGTCTATAATATTTTCTTTCGCATACCTGACATATGAGTTTTTCTTCCCGGTCTAAATTTATGAACAAGGGATGTTTATGATCTTTGTAATCAAACGGCTCAGAAATTAAAGCACACCTTACATCCAGATCGAAATCACATTTCCTTATTGGACACTGATAAACAAAGCCACTGCTAACCCGTTCACAAGCATTGCAAATGAAAAAATCATCAATATATCCACTTTTAGCCTTCAATGTAAGTAGATGAGGATGTAACCCATGTTGTACTTGGCGGGGAGCATTGGCACATGTTTCATGGATGATATAGTCACACTTAATACAAGAATAGAAATTACCTTCAAAGATAGGACAAACACACACTTGACAAAGCTTGTTTTCATCATAATTAGGTATATTAACCTCGAGCCGTAGATGATGTTCATGAAGAAAATAAAGTATCACTCCATTAGAAATTGTATCAAAGGGTCTAACATCCTGTATTATATCATCTTCTTCTGGTACACCTTCGAGTTCTTCTCCATCCCATACATCTTGCCCGATAGCACATCTTGAATGAACAACATAATCACTACACTTAAGACAGGTATATGCACAATAATCATTGATAATACTTTGATGGCAAACCCCACAAGAACAATCTCCGGATTGTAAAGAAGAAGTGTAAGAAATACGATGATGGTGACGTGATATCTTGATGATACATGGAGAATACAAGCAATCTTTATGAGATACAAAGTTGCATCTGGCACATATGTAGGTGGGATCATTTTTTCTCAACAAACCACAAACGTCGCAAATTAAAAAATTTGGCCTGTGGAAAAAGGTTAGGGGGTGATCATGTCTTGTAGGCTGGTTTAAAAAGAAGGGTATCCGCTTCATCGCGCATAATGGATGCATGATAGCCTGACATATGGTACAATAATAAACTAGAGTTTGTGCTACTCTCCCGCAACATAAACACTCAATGTTACGATAATTAGTTGGATAATGAAAAAGTTGGAGAGAATGCTCAGGGTGGTATGGATGTTTGATTTTAAGTGGAGACTCGACACATTCTTTATGGTACACTTTATAACAATGATCACAACAATAATATTCTGTGCCAAAACTTGAGCCGTTGCATGCATCGCACCCACCCCTAGCATCAAATTCTTTATTGTTGCACTGAAAAGAGAATACGGTATGATAGTGTATAGATGGATGTTTTGGAAATCTTGTAGAGAATTCAATGGGTGAAATGAAGGGGAAAAGTGTGTAATAATCTAAAGGTGGATGTTTTTGAAATCTTGAAATCGACAATCGTGTAGTAAGGCATAAGAAAAGAGGTTGAAGAGAGTGGTCGTGGCTAGCTGCTTCACCGGAGGAGGATGGGCTTGGAGTTTGTAGTGTGGGATGGTGATATACCATAGATAGATTACCATCTTTTTCTTCTTCATGAAATCCACCGATGGAAGCCATAGATGTTCCTTAGTATATATGTTAAACAATTATTAATAGTTTCTACTATATATATATAAATGTGATCCTTAACGTGAAATGGACCTAATTTTATCCTTTTCTTTGTAGTTGTGATTATTTTCTTTCCACGCAAATGTAGGATCAACTCCTCTTCAAACATGGTTTTTGTTCTTTCTTAAATTATTCGATAAAGAATAAATCGAGACTTTGTATATAAGCTCAATATAGTTTTTCTATTGAAATTAAATTTTCATTTAATATATATATTGGTTCATGGATTTATAAGGAATTAGAAATCCAAACAAAAATCATTTGTTATTCAATCATTGATTTTAAAATCCTAATTAAAATCATGTGTTATTGGTTGCATGATTTATAAATACTAATTAAAATCCTATGTTATTCGTTTAGTCATTTGTTTTTGGATTTGAGAATCCAAATTATGTTTTAAATGGATTTGAATGGAATTGAAAGAGAAAAATAGAAGGATTCAAATCCATGGGTAAACACATGTTATTTCAAAATCCATATATTTTGATTTCATAATTAATAGAGATTTTTAAATCATATATGGATTTACAAATCAATAAACCAATAACACAGTACATAGTCGATTTAGTTTTATATTTTGGATTACTTATCTAATTTTCAATGCCATATAATGTAACATCAACAAAATTTGAAGTCATTTACTTAAAAAAAACTCTCCAAATAACTATTTGTATTCATTTCCATATTTTCTCTAGTACAAAAAAATAAACAATAAAGAATATTAAATAAAAAACACTGATGTTTTTAATTCCTCAAAACCAAAACTCCATGAATAAAAGTTTTTTTTTTTAACGTGTAATGCAACGACACTCTCTGTACAGTGTAACACTTAACCTTCTCTTTGGTTTTGTAATACCAAACCTCTTGATGTTTCAGTTAACAGCAGAGAGGGGAAATCTTGAATCCGACACAGCTGCCTCGTAAAGAGACGAAGCGAGTATAAGGTGTTGTTGCTGCTGCTGCTGCTTTGCATCCCCATTGGCTTGCTTCAACAATTTCTCATCTCTAAACACTCTCAGTAACTCCTCAGATGCTGGAGTTCTAAGTTCTTCGATGGACTCAATGCTCGGTATGTCGATTGGTCTTTTCCTTGGCGTTGAACATGATGGTTCATCCACCTATTGCATCAAAAACACATCAGTATTGTAACTAGACTCTAAGACCAACTATAATGTCTTAGCGGTTTTCTTGGTTTGTTTTGTGCGAGTTGAAATCTTAAAACTTACTACATATTCATCAAGAAGACATTTCCCTGCATTCTCTGTGATCTCTACAATCTTATGATTGTGATCACTCTTGAGCTCTATCAAGTCTTCACAGCATGGAATGATCATGGAGTTGACCTTTGTACATGCATCGTTATCTAGTTGCAATGAATCTGAAAATGTAGTAAACTTTCAGCAAATAAGTGAAGAACCTTTTGAATCTGTAAATTTAAGGGAGTTAGTTAGCTCTACTCACGATCAATGGAAGTAAGGAGGCTGCTATTTGCAGCATCAAAAACATCAAGAGAGGATGATACAGCGGACGAGAATTTAGTGCGTAGGTTCTCATTGGCATCCATGCCACCTCTGTTGAGAAATTGAAGTGATAAGTGACTTGAGACAAATGAGAAACGGTGAAAAAAGAGAATTGGTTTATCTATGCGGAGATCATACCTAACAATGGAGTCAACAGAAGCCACGTTGTTTCGTTCTAGACTGACTAGTGATTCTTGAGCTTTCCTCCATTGATGCGCACTCATCTCGGCCTTCTCCAAACTACAATTATCCATTTCGAAAGGTCAAGCAAATACATGAAAAAAGCTCGGCTTGGGATGATATATGTTGTGAAGTTTGGTAAACTGTGAGATTTTTATACCAGTTTAAGAGAACTTCTTGCATAGCTTTCTTCCCGCTCTCAACCGCTGAAGTGTCCTCATGATGGCTTGATTCTGTTTTCTCCATGTGCAGGCTCCACTCAGCTTTAATGGTAGAAGTTGAATCTTGCATCGTTGACATCTCATGCTGCAGGGTGGTCGTTCTGGTGGATGCGCTCTCGCGTAGATCGTGTACAGCCATTTGGACCTACGAAAAGATTGAAGAGTTTGCTCAAAGCCTTAAATCAAATGCATTTCTTAAGAACCAACATGCAGAATTGCATACTTACAAGGTTTTTCTTCCTGGCATTAGAGTTTGCCAGAAGTTCTGCTACTTTCTCTAGCAATTGCCTCTCTTCATTCGCAGCACATTCCTACAAGACAGAGGAAACATCATTAAAGCCTATGCAAGGCTTTTGCAGCTGCGCATGTGTCAAGAAGCCAAGAACCGAAATCACCTCAAACTTGTTTTCAAATTCGCTCAATTTCTTGTGGTTAACTGTCTGTGCCTCTTCTACTATCCCGGTTAATTTGGTAGCATGTGTGTCTAGAGTCTTGAAGAATTCTACTGTTACTTTTGAAACTGACCTTGCTGTATCCACAGCTCGACAGTGTGCCTGCAGAAATAATGTTTCAGCCGAAATGTCTGATATTACTATTGTAAAATTTAAAGGATCATTGAAGATTATTAAACCTTCCGTTGCTGCTGAGCAAATGTAATAAGCTTTTCTTCCTGTTTGTTAAGGCTACTTTGGAGATCTTGCAGTAACATGTCAGCCTCGGAAGCAAAACCCTGGAAAACCTACAAGAGACAACAAAGGAAGGAGACTGACTCAGAACAGAGATAACAATGGGTGCAGTGGGATAGTTAAAGTACTAGACTTACATTCTCAAGTTCATGCGAATGTTTCGAAACCTCTGAGTTCAGGCTACCAAATGTTGATTGAGAATTTCCATCTAGTTTCACAGCTATGTTATCAAGAGCTTCGATGCCAGAGCCATACACTGTCTTCAGTTTTGAAAGTCTATCACGGAGTTCTTCAGTAGCCTTAAAGGGTAAACAGCAGAATGAGGCAAAAAATGATCGGTGAGAATTAAAAAAAAAGGCCATAGAGAAAGAAACAAAAATCTAGTTCAGATTATGATGTGTCACCTCAGATTTTGTCGCCACAAAGGACTCCATGTCTTCCTCCATGTGTTTTAGTTGAACCTCTTGTTGAGTCACCGAAGAAGCCACAGTCTTATGCAATAGCTCAAGCTGTTGTGTGAGCTGTGACTGGAACTTTTGGATGAGATATCTATTTCCATCTTCAATTTTGTCCTTTCTTTCTGCACAACAACAGCATTTATGAAGCAGGGAACATTTATCAACAGAAACAAAGAATTTTGGTCCATGAATCTTTTACCTATTTTGGAAAACAAGTTGGAAACATCTGATGCTGCACTTTCTAGTTCTGTTCGCAGCTGAAAGGCTCGCTCGACAAGTGATTTTTCTGAAATTCGCAAGAAAATGTTATTGTCGGAAGGTTTAACTACTAAAACAGGGTTTTCCGCATGAGAACGTTGGTAAAGAAAATTACCTGACTTGAGGAGATTAGATATCACAAATTCCTTCTCTTTAATGGTTGCATTTGCCTGTCTGTATTTTTCTTCAAGATCAAACAATGAGTGCTCAGTTTCCTCAAGCTTTTTCTGATATTTGTGGAGAGATACAATTAGATTTTTGTGCATTTCGATTAACATATATAAAAAATGGTTTCAGGAGGAGTTAGAAGAGAAATCAGGCCCAGGCGTTTACCTCAGTTTTTTCAAGTTTCTCACTCAACTCCGCAGTTAAAAGCTGCTGAGAATTGTATAGCTCCTGAAGGTCAACTACTCGCTGCAGGGCCAACATAATCGTTAGAGTCTTAGAGATATATCATGTGAGGCACTGATGGGATATTGAATCAAATGATGTGGGTTCAAACCTTGTCTTTAGATTCTGATTGAAGTTCTAATCTTTCTATCTTTTCAGCCATTTCCTGTGATTAACACACAAATGGATAGAGTTACTTTCTACATTCAGGATTGGAAAGGACGAAGGAATAGATAAGAACCAGTCATTCAGAGAAAGTAAAACCTTTTTCTCAGCCTCTTCTTGAATATAGCGGTCTTTTGGAATATAAATCCCGTTCTTCTCTCTCGCAGCATATACCTCTAAGAAAATAGAGGAAATTTAAATTTATTAAGCAGATGCAGAGAAGAATAAAAACTACAATACCAAGTAAGGAATGCCTTGAAAACTAATAGATAAAATAATCATACTCATACCTTGCTTTAGTCGGTCAATCTCAGAGTACAGATCTTTCATGACAGCAGATTTCATCATCTTCTGGTTGATCTGGAATCAAGAGGAAGCTGTTAGAGCTGTTGTTTTGTGAAAGAGAGAATATTGCAGAAGAATGTCGTTAAGAATCACCTCTGGTTTGTTCTTGATATTCTTAGCACGATGTGCATAATCCAAAGTGCTTAAAGTCTCTTCTAAACAGTGGATGGAAGGTGAAATTGTGGCGATTACACACGTTTTCGTCTTTCCTCCCAATGAATCCCTCAAGAGCCTTGTCAATTTGCTATCTCTGAAAATTCAAAAGCAATAGCTGAGTACCCTCTGATGGCAAACCTAAATCGAAGACACCAAGGAGATTACAAACTATCAGTTGCTTTCAACTACTGTAATCATTTGTACCTGTAAGGAATATGACCAGAGTGCTCAACAAGGGCGTTAATGACACGTCCAAGAGTAAGTAAACTCTTGTTGATCTCTCCAGCTTCCCTGGCTCGTCCCTGCAACAACCGTTGTCAAATTAATTAGCACTAGCTTCCATGACTGCCTTGAAGACACTGATTACAGAGACGGCGATACTAAGAGAAGTATACCTCTCGTGCACCAGAGCGTGAGATATTCTCGGAGCCAGCAAGGTCAACAAGATTTAGTTTCCCACATTTGATCATCTCTTCTCCCTCTGGAGTATTTTCCTTGATGTGAATGGTGATGGAAAATATTGAATGAGAGCGACTACTTTGCTTGTTCAAAAGAGTTTCAGCTGTACGCCTTTTCGCGGAACCTTTTTCCAAAATCTTGTATATCTCATTCGCTGTACTCACTATCTCTTCTTCTAAGCCACGGACAAAGACACTTCCTTTCCCGTCTTCCATGAGGGCAATCGATTTTTTAGACTTCTCATCAACAAATTTAATAGTCTCCTCTGGTGCTAAAAGATCTGAGATTTCCTCATTATATAGTTCTAGGAAGGTGACCTTCATGCTATACTCAGCCCCCTGAGCTTCTAATATGTCGAAAATTTGCTTAACAGCTCTTGGAATAACACCTGCGTCACTCGGGAACTCACCATTCTACAAATAGCAAAGGTAACTATTTATTAAAAAACATGAAAAATACATATGAATCATACAGAAGCATGCTAGGTTCGTTTTAGAAGAACCAACCTTTTTCCTTGCACCTCCTTCCATCGTATACGTCTTCCCAGTTCCGGTCTGACCATATGCAAAGATGGTGCAGTTGTAACCCTCAAGTACTTCAAATACTATTGGACAAATGGCTTGGTCATATAAGTCCTTCTGTTGAGATGCCGGACCAAAGACCTGAGTAGTTCAAAGAGAAACAATTGAGGGACAAGCATAATCAAGAAACAAGCTTCAAGACAACTTTATCAAGTTTATAACCTTATCGAAAGCAAAATGTCTATCAATATGCTTTCCAGCAATACTTTGCGTGGCAGCAACTTCTCTACGGTTCTCATTACAAGAAATCACCACCGGTGTGTGTATTCTAGCCTCATCCTCACTCAATGGCCTATAAAGAACCAAAACCCAGCAAGAAAGATCAAAACCCAAAAGAGATCAAAATACATAAAAACTCAGAGCAGCTTAGAAGCTAAAATCAGACCTGCAACGCAATATGACCTGCACATTCACACCCTTTTCTTTATCATTTCTATTGGTAGAATTTGATTCAGAAGATCTCGATTCTCTAGCCGCTTTATCACTTGATCGTGGTGTCTGAGCTGGAGAAAGAGATACAATCCCACCTCTTCGTTGCTGAATCGAATCCATTCTGCTAAAATTGCCTACCATTTAGATTCTCTGCACAAACAAATCAGTCACATTAAGCAATGGATCCAAGGTAACCAAAACCAACATTCTCAAAACAAGCAAGCATTTAAAGGTAACATCTTTGAGATGCCCAGAAGCTTAAACTACAAATTCTATCCTCAAATCCAAACCTTTCGCAGTTTGACCCAAATTTAGCAACTTTCTGACTCAAATTGACTCCATTTCATGAATCAGCAAACATATAACAAAATCACAGAACAAAATGTAAATACATTGCTGAAGCTACTTCAACATCTAGCTACTCTAATACCAAACTATCATTAGATCCTCCTCTCAATACAGATGACACGAAATCGGATCAAACAATCGAGTGACAAAATGAAGAATCTTGATTGATTCAGCGAGTAGTACTTTTCAGGGAAGCAAAACCCACTCTGGAGATTTGTAGACTTACAGAGAAGGATCAAGTTTCAGCAATGGTGGATTCGAAAGAGAGAGACTTGGAGAGAGAGAGAGAGAGTGTGACTTCAAGTGCATTTATTGTTCCTTCTTCTCAAAGCAGAAGAAGAGATGAGAGATGAAGTAAAAGGCACAAAAAGATCAAATTTTGTAAACGACGTTAATCAAACGGTTTAAAAAGACCGGATCAAACCGAGATTTCCGTTCCGGTTTGACGATTTATTATCCTCATTATCTATATATTTCAAACTTTTTAATGAAAACATTCATAAAAATTATCAATTTGGTTAATTGTTTCTGAAAGTTTATGTAAAACAAAATTGTAGTTTCTAAATATTTATGGTTTGATTTGTTGTGGCTATCGGTTAAGTTTGATTATTTTGATCAGAACTTTGGTTATTGTTAACGGCGTCAAATAAATCGTTTACTTGAATTATGTGTAAATTACTATTTTCCATTTGTTTATGTTATTAACTTAGTTTAGATTTTTTTTTTCACTAGATTATGATTATCTTTGGATTAGAAGACAAAATTCTGTCTTCCCGTTTTGAGGGGAAAGTTAGAGCCTTTTTAGATTTTCTTTCATATTCAATTTTAAATTATATAGCTCAGTCCCATTAACTTAAATTTTAAATTTGAATTTGAGATATTAGTTGTTTCAACTCTAATGGGAGAAAGAAGTCTAATTTCTCACCTAAATATCTACTGAAAAAGACAGCCACCCATAATGCGAACAATAGGTAAATTAGATATATCAGAATGATCAAAATATTATGTTTAAATTTTACAAAAGTCAAATTTGGTCATCCTATGAATTTGATACCATAGACATGTCCCAATTTCAAATCAAACAAATTTGGTTTTTCAACTATTCTATCACATCTCCAAAAACATTAGATTTAAGCTTAAACTTACTTCTTAGGATTAAAATTAGTTATACATATAAAACTAATCGTCAATGTTAGTGTTAGACCACAATTAATGTTCTTGGAATTAGTAACAAAAAATATACTCCCTTCGTTTCGTTTTAGTTGTCGTTTAAGGTTTTTTCACACGAATTAAGAAAAGCATTTAATTTTCTGTTTTATCCTTTATTAATATATTTTATAAAAAATTTCATTGGCCAAAACATTAAAACAGTAGGGATAAAACTGGAATTTTCACCAAACATTTGCATTGAAAACCTAAAACGACAACTATTATAAAACAAAATTTAAATTCTAAAACGACAACTAAACTGAAACGGAAGGAGTAGATTATTAGTGAACAAACCATATATATTGGAAAATATGTGTATATATATATGTTCGGCAACATGTGGTTTCTATATAAGAGATTATGTGTAGATTAAGGAGTGAATAAAGAAGCTTGAGGAAAAAGAGAGAAGGCAAAAGTGTGGGGTTAAGGAGCCATGTGATATGATCCTTCAAACATGTGGTTTTCTTTTTCAAACCCTTTTGTTTTCTTTCTCCTCTCTCATTATCAACACACACAAACACATACTATATATTGAGTGTGTGTGTCTGTTGTTTCTCATAAAATTTGTGTGTCAAGCTCAGTCTTGCACTCATATCTACGCAGCATCTTTTGGTACCAAACACATGTGGGGTTACTTTTATGGTATCGATAGTTTGGTTCATATTTGTTGGAAAAAGTGATATATGAATTTTTTTTTTAGAGAATTAAACTAGGATTACATCAATTATGTAATCGTTTGCTAAGTAATGTAATATCAGAGATTTTAGCAAAAAAGTTAATTTGTAAAATATTTATAGTGACTACTATAGAAAGAAAAAAGTTATGAGATAACATCATTTATCAAATCTATGACTTTAAAGGTAACACAATTTCTCTAAAAAAATTATTATATATAGACTTATATGTGTCTGCATACATCACATGTATTATGTATATTAACATCTATATTTAATATTTTATACATTTTGCTTGCAAGACACTCTATCAAAAGTATTGCATATGCTTGTGTCTTACTTCAACTCTCTTTATATGGTAAATATAATCTAGTTACTCAATAAAAACACTAAAAAGAAGAAAGTTTTCACATGCATTGTTCAGAGGTTTTGATTCCTTCGCTCCACCATTACACATTTTCATTTCCAATATCTCTTACACATTATTTCCTTTACCTTAATCGTAAAAACTCTATAATGCTAACAAATAAAATATAAACCTAAGAAAGAGCTAATTAACAACTAAACCTTAAACGAATCTTTGTTTGTTGTCGATGCTTAATTAATAGACTAAATCATATATCGCAAAACTTTGATATCTATAAATAAATTTTGTCTTCAACGAGGAGTTACATTAGTAATGGAAGCATCATCGACTGAATAGAGAGCGGACGTATTGATAGATAGACGATCCACTAATCCTACTTGTTCATGTTTACTACTCCGGAAGAAAAAACCAGGTCGTTGAGGAACCGCGAGAGCCATTGAGCTAGTAGTGAGCATCTGGACAATAGCTGACATGGTTGGACGATCTTCAGCTTCTTCTTGAACACATAGTAAAGCGATATGGATGCATCGGGTAACTTCGTTTATTCTATAGTTATCATGAAAGGATGGATCCACAAGCTCTAACGGTGACCCATTGCTCCATAGTCTCCAAGTCTAGTGAAATGTTTTAGTAATTAATAATTAAAACTTTGGTCACTATTGAATAAAGGAAATTAATAAGGCTATACTCACATATGTAACCAAATTGCCAGCACTAGCACTATCGAATTGGTAGACATTGCTGTTCTTTTTCCCACTTATAATTTCGAGAACTAAGACCCCGAAGCTATACACATCTGATTTCATGGAGAATTGGCCATACATCGCATACTCGGGAGACATATAGCCACTGTGACAAAACTCAAAGCTTAAGTTGGTAGAAGCATGTTACGTGTCTTAAGGAAATATATGGAAAACTTACTATGTTCCAACTATTCTCCTAGTATTGGCTTCCGTTTGGTCCATTCCGAAAATTCTCGCCATTCCAAAGTCGGCGATTTTTGCGTTCATATCAGCATCAAGGAGAATATTACCTGCTTTGAGATCACGATGTATGATTGTGAGTCGTGAATCTTGATGAAGATAAAGAATCCCTCTAGCAATTCCTCCAATGATTTTGTATCGTCTAGTCCAATCCAGCAGGCTTTGCATCGTAGAGTCTGCGCATATGTATTTACAATGTTAGAAACAAAGAATGGTATGCATTTTATAAAAAATTATCTTAGGCTAAATATTGAACTTTATTAACTGACCAAAGATGAAGTAGTCGAGACTTTTGTTGGGCACAAATTCATAGACAAGTATCCTCTCATCTCTTTCCAAACAAAACCCTAGCAATCTTACCAAATTTCTATGTTGAAGCTTTGCCACAACAACAACTTCGTTTGCGAACTCTCTTTCACCTTGTCCTGATGTCTTGGATAACCTCTTCACTGCAACTTGTGCTCCACTAGGAAATATACCCTACAACAATAATCATGAAAATGAAACTTGTTTTTGTTTAACACATATTCGTTTTTTTAATATTTAAAAGCAAACTCAATTATTTCTCCTTTGTTCTAAAAGTTAGGACCAGTTTTGGACAATGGTAATACCTTGTAAACTTCGCCGAAACCTCCTTGACCAAGTTTGTTAGTCTCACAAAACTTATTTGTTGCTGCCTCAATTGCCTTGAAATCAAACTGAAGTGACCCCGCAGTAGTAATATCATCACTTTCTGTAGAAAGTAGAAACCATTCTAACATTAGGGTCTCAAATGGGCTTTTTTTTTTTTTGAATATCTGGAAGTTCAAGCCCGAATACACTATATCTCACAAAGGCGCAAATGAGTTATTTAGGTCTGAATGGACATGTTCAAAGGACATTGATGGTCAAAGTCCAAATAAGACTATGTCCAAATAGGATAAACCCGAATAAGACCATGACCAACTGGGTTATCCACATGATCCATATAATACATGAACCCAATTATACAAGAAACCGCAAAATCACATATCCCTCCAAAACCGCAAAATCGAATTTCCCAACTAAAACCGCTAATTTAGGACAGAGAAACACAGAACATTCAACATGAGAAAAAAAAAGAAAAGATGAGGAGATAGTTTATCATTGGTGTCTTTACCTTCAGTAAGTGGTTCCCTCTCAAAAGTCGTGTTTGTTTTCTTAGCCCGAAAACAAAAAACAGCTACAAAGATTATAAAAAGGACAGTGAATAGAACAACAACAGCGATGATTATGGCTGAAGAGTTTCCCCCTTTTCCTATAATTCACAGAAATAGCCTCATATGAACCACTGTTTTTAGCAAATCTTGAATGTCTCAAAAGAAAAGTTTCAGTTAAAGTTAAAAACAAGGAGATCAATTAATGTTCATCATACCACGGATTGAAATCTGCGGTGGGGGAGCTAACTTCAGCTGCTGTTGAGGAGTAGAGCCAGGCGGCAGAGACGGTGGTGGTGATGTTCTAGTGGCGGTTTCATTGTAGAACGCGTAAATCTCATACCTTGAATTACAACTAGGGTAAAGAAATCTTCCTCCAATTAGGTAAAGAGGCATTCCATTGATGGATTTTTGTAGGCAACGTAAACAGTCCTGTCTTGTAAGATCAGGAGTGCACTGAACTAACAAGTACAAAGTCTGTGGTATGATGACCTTTCTCGTATAAAACTTTTTAGAATTGTTGGCTGCTTCAACGGCAGCTTGGTTCAACGTGGACGACACCAAATCCCTGAACTGGTCTACTTGATTTTGATTAGTTGATGAAATATTAACACCGTTCAACAAGATAGCACTTCCATTGTATGTAACGGTCGAGAGAATATTGCGGTGAGAGTATCTGAGCATATACTCATCGTAATAGAGCACGACTTCTTTGCTATTCGGAAAGAAATCTAACGTCTCGTTAACGGAAAAGGCGACGCAGTTACGGCAAACTTCTTGGGAGACGTCTCCACGACAAAGGAAAAGTCCGGTAACCCGGTCAGGGGCTTGTCCCGCCGTGGCAGTTTGGAATCCGGAAGAGTATGAAGCGTTCCGGGAAGAGAGAGAGGACAAAAGGGTTTTGAGATTGGTGAAGTAAGTGCTGTTTCTTGAATACGATAATATTATAGTACCTGGACAAGAATAGTTTATGTAAATAAAATTTTGAGCTAGAGCTGAAGGAGAAGATAAGGAATAGGCAAATGAAAGATGAAGGAGAAAAGGAAAAAGCCAGAAGAAAGACATGCTTGAGTTTCTTGGGTTTGTGTTTAAGATCATGAAGCACTCATGCATTAAATAAAAAGAAATTTTCACGTTTCTACTGAAAAAAAGATTTTCTCTCAGTATTTGGCAAAGTGAGATTTGGTTCTCACATTTTGACAATTAAGCCAAAATCTGACGAAAATACCCCTAATGACTTAAACCAAATGACACAGTTGGTTTCGGTTTAGTTACTTTTTCTTTGTTTTACGGTTTGGTTTTGAATTTAAAAAAAAAAAAATTCTTGCCCAGAAACCTAGAAGAAAACGAAGAAGAAGAACGAGAGAGATCACAAATCGTCATCAACTTCAAAAACCCATTTTCTGGGGTTTTGTTTCTTGTTGTCGGATCTTCAGATGCTGGAGAAAGGAATGATTTTGCCTCCGGTACCGAGCCAATTGGTGCTTTTACGGCCAAACCCTTTGCTTCAATGGCGGCTTGGTGCTCTTACAGCACTCGTCTTCTTCCTCATGTTAGTCGTTTGTAATTTTTCTCACTTGAATCCTCATTTTCTGGGGTTTTGTTTCTTGTTGTCGGATCTTCAGATGCCGGAGAAAGGAATGATTTTGCCTCCGGTACCGAGCCAATTGGTGCTTTTACGGCCAAACCCTTTGCTTCAATGGCGGCTTGGTGCTCTTACAGCACTCGTCTTCTTCCTCATGTTAGTCGTTTGGAGTATTGACGGTTGTTCGATTCAAAGCTTCGTTGAGCCATGGAGATTCAATGCATACTCTGTTCGAATCAGTCCTTTTCCGTCGCCTTTAATGTTACCGAAACCCAAACTTCAAAAACCCACCAAATCGTCATCGTTTTTTAGTCGCCGGCGTCGTCATCGTCGAAGCTTCTTCTTTAGCCGAAGAATCTCTCTGGCCAACTTTCGTCATTATCTCTTTCGCTGTCAGATTCAATTTTAACACTCTGTCTTTCTTTACTAAAAAGGAACAAAATTTTTGATATATACAGAGAGAGAGCTCTCTAAATCCGATTCATGTTTTGATTTGGGTATATTCTCTCTTACTTAGGGCTTGAATGGCAGTCCGGTACGGCTCCGGTGCGGCGACCCTAATCACGGGGTCACCGGCGAATGGTAGTCCGGTTTCAGTCACCACACAATCACCTTCGTCGTCACCATCATCTTCTCCGTCGACGTCATCTCTGTTGGCGTCTTCTCCTTTATTGTTGTTGATTTCAAAGGAATTATGCTAAATTATGTAGTTTCGGTTAGCAATCAATGTTTCGGTTAATGTAGTAATTGGAATTCAGAAATTGCTTTTCTTTATTTATAAACACTATCGAAGAACACTATCGAAGAAGTTATGATGGATACACTAGCTTTTGATCTAATAGATAAAGCTTAATATATATTGCACATTATGTGTTCGACCAAATGTCTGAATGAACTTTCTACTTCATGATTTTCTTAAGCCATATATCAACCTCTTCATATTTAGATATTATTTGGTTGTATTCGAAGATGATATTTGCTTTTGAGGACATATTTGATTCTCCCTTTTCTATGCAACCATGAATTAGCTTATGATCATTATCATCGATATATCTTCTGTTTTCATTTTCTAAGGTTCTAAAAAATCATTGATATATTAGTTTTTGATTTTTCAATTAAAAAAAAGCTAAACTAATACTGCATGTTTCATTTTAATACGTTGTCGATTTTTAATAAAATTTTGGTTATTATATTTAAAAAAAATGTTTTTACAATTTCTATATTATTGGCGAATATAATATTTAAAATTATATTAATAAATTTATTTAATATGTAAACTAAAATATGTAATTATATTAATAAAATTTCCGTAACGGACGTAATGGTTAGTGCGAAAGGGTTCAACGGTTGAGATACAAATGTGTGTATATACACAGACATATCAGAAATGTACATAGTTATACGATGGCAAACATTAAACGTACGTACACCGACAAAAAATGTGGTACACATGGTCCAGACATAAACGTACACTGTCTACACGGTGACAAAAAACAAGGACATAAAACTAAATAGGATTTTTGCAAGACTTCTTGTTATCACTTGCTTGTCTACATCTTGTACACTGATTCGGAAAAAGTCTTTTTTGTCTTTTTTTTTCTGTAGTGACAACAACAATAAGTTAACAATCAACGCATCTTATACTCTAAACATAGATATAGGCAAATAAGTGCACATGTTAGAATGTTAAAACTTACCCGGTTTTCACCCCTAGATGGTATCACCATCCTTTTGGTGGTTGGTCTCCCTGGTGGTCGTCTACTGTATGGAGGAATTAGTATCATATCCGATATATCTTGTGGGATGACAATATCCTTCCGATCCGCGATAGGTAGAATCGGTTCTTGGAAAGAATCGGAAAACGTTTAAATGCTATAGCACCAACCGACAACAACCTTCAGATTAATTCCAAATTCTATTGCAGCTGCTAGACCGTGTTCACATGGGATTCTTAACCGCGTGTACATAAGACACGTACACGTACACTCATCGAGAACGACATGAAAATGCTCACCTGACTTGCTTGTAAATTGATAACTCTACGGTCCAGACATCTTCACCGCGTATTTCCCGGAGGCAGGCAAATCTTGGAGAAAACGCTCGTCAACCTCAGGCGTCACTAAGGATTTACACCTAGCCACTTTTTTCCTCCTGGCTGCGAACCATCGCATAAGGACCTCTCGAATGAACTCTATCATGTATACAATCGGATATGTTTTTGCTTTTGTTAAGACATTATTCATAGCCTCCGAGTTGTTGCTAGACATGATATTGTAGCGTTCCCCTTTGCAGTGAGATCTTGTCCAATGCTCAAATCCAATTTCCTCTAAGTAGTTTGCGCATCCAGGTCTCTTAGCCCTTAATTGTTCAAAGTATTTTTCAAAATCCTTCACCCTATAATCTTTAGCAGCACTGAAGAATAATTCAGAAACACCATACTTACCATAATTGGTATCCGTGTACGTAACAAAATCACCTTCGCAGCATGTATCTTGTACACAGTCTGTAGTGTACGTACATTGGTACAAACCATGTCGACACGTACATGTTGGAGTCACTGTTGGTGTACTGTCACCCAAATGAGAAATGTTATCTCCGCCAGGTACACGCTGACTTGTGTACGTTCACTCTGCCAATAGACGACTGAATTTTCCTAGATGTTGAACAGTCTGTTGAGTGAGAATGACGTCCTCCTCAACATTCCCTATTTCATATTCTTCTACAATTACATCGTTCCACTTGTTGTAATCTTAATCTTCGCCACTACCTTCACTACCGTCTATAGTAGGATCGAGGGAACTTCCCCCTATAGATCCATCGTCACCCTGATGACACATAAACATACACTACATTAATCTGCGAGTGTTATGAAATCTTATATGTATATTGGATTTTTGTAAGTTTTCTTGTTATGTTCTTCGCTTCTACATCTTATACAACTATACGACAGAGATATTTTTCAAAATAAAATTGCATCTACTACCCTGTGTTCACATTAAATTCATAATATGGTGTACATATATTATGTACACGTACACTAGTCCAGTAAGACATGAAAATGCTCCTTAATGACCCTCTAATCCCTACCTCAAAACCTTTAACTTCAAATACACTATGCTCTTTTGTATTCGTGTACGTCAAACATTCACTTTCACGTACTTTTTCTTGTACACAGTTAATGATGTACGTACATTTGTCAAATGGTTAAATTGTCACCATTCTCCTCAAAATCATCAAAGTTTATTATAATTATTTGTCTGTTTTTTTTTTCACTTTCTTACCATTCTATAAAATATTTCAGAAAATCATGTTTTTCAGCTATTTTTTTTTTAAAACATTTTTACTTATAAATGTTTTTAACAATTTTTTATATAGATTTATAACGATCACTTTAATTTTTTAGTTACAAGAGTTGTGTTTTTTTTAATAACTCTTTCTTTTTTGACAATTCCAAAAAGTGTTTTAAAAATTTTTAGTCGTAATTATTCACTCCGGAAAAAGGTTTTTCTTATTATGTTAACTCCATATTCAATTTGTACATTATTATATTATCATCTTATCATAGATAAATTGTAACATATTAATATTACTATGTACGTACACAAAATTAAACTTTATTATGTACACATTTTTAACTATGTACATCTAATTCCGCAAGAAGAGATAAAATAAAAACTAATAAAAGAGATAATGGAAACAGTGAGATAATTGACAAAAGAGTGACAACAATGCAGCATGGTAAAATTATATTTTTATTTACAAATCTTTAATTTGAAAAATATCATCATCTGTTGATTTATTTTGAATATTTTTTATATCTTACATATTTGTGTCAGCTAATCTTACACCAATGTGAGCTACTTTATAAGTTTAGCACACCGCCACGAACACCACATTATATACAATGATGTACACCGCACCAAAACTTATATAGCTTCAAATACGTACACCGCCTAAAATACATTTTTACATATACCGTTTTATAAAAAAACCCGTATACAGTTTCATACACTAATATGTTCATACACGAATATCTATATTTTCTCGTACACCAAACTATATTGTATATATGACAATGTATTCTGAAATTAATCACCATAAAAGACTCTGTATATTAAATGTTAACTTATTTACGTTCTTTTTGTTGTGTACATATCAAAACACAATGTACACAGTTGCATTTTTTTTTTGTAAAAATGTATTCAATTAAAAATAACATAAAAGAGTTGATGGTTGGAGGAAAAGAATTGCATACAAGGTTGTTAGTTCGATATTATTATGGATATATATAATATAGTATTAACACGTATATGAGGTAATGTTTTTTATATACGATATTCGATAAGAAAATTATTTGTAAATATACAAGTTTTGAGTGGTTTGTAAAGAAAATTTTATATGTATACAAATAATTTAAATGTGTACATGCACATAAACACACAAGTTATTACCGGTGTACGTACACATACATATATGATAATGATAATATAAAATTGTATTCAACAACATGATTTATAAAAGAAAAGTAAAAAATAATTAAAAGGAAAAAATTAAGTATAGTTAAATGGATCTTAAAAGATAGAAAAAAAAGAGTTACAATTTAAAGTAAAAAAATAAAAAATAATTAAAAAAGTGAAAAGAAAAAAAATGTGTAAACAAAAAGAGATGGAAATATATTTATTTTTAAATTAATTTTTATTTAATTTTTTAATACATTAAATTCTCCCTGTGACAGTTTTATTTTTTAATAAAAAATTTTCTTGCTTTTTTACTGTACAGCCGCAAAAAACAATTAAAAACGAAAATATATTTCTTAACCGGAACAGTGTACGTAACTGAACCGCATAACTGAACCGTACAGTGAACAGTACATCGTTACGCTGGCAGGGATAAAATGGTCAGATTTTGGCTAAATTGTCAAAACTTGAGAACCAATTCTCACTTTGCCAAACCATGAAATTAAAAGATAGTCTTATGCCCTGGCTTGCAATTTACCCTTAAATAAATTTATTTTTCTTGACTACTGTAGATTAACGTGAAGTGGATTAAAAAAAAAAAAAAAAAAACGTGAAGTGGAGGTTGGTTTGAAGTTTTTTTTTTTTTTTCCTTTTTTAATAACAATAATATCCTAGGCAAAGATGATGATGCACATTAGAAACAAGGGTAGGCGATGAGAAATTGCTAAAATAATTCATAGCAAGTAGTAGTAACGCAAAGAAACTTCGTCAGTTGATTGGATAAACACTCTCAAAGACAATGACCAAGAGAAGACAAAATACAAAGACTCATTTGCTGCAGTGCCGTGCTTATAAAGCATTTGCCTAAAGCCACCAATTTGTTTTGGGCAATTTATAAAAATAGCACCAAAAAAGTTTTTTTTCCAAAATTAGCACAACATTTCTAAAATTCCACAAAAAACACTATAAACTTCAATTAAACTTAATTAATATATAAGATAAAAAATAAAAATGAGAGCAAACACTAACCTAATATTAAATTGAATCAAAATTTCTTTTAAATAGTAGAAATATATACCCTAAATTGGAAATATGGAACCCAAATATAATACCACAAACTAATATTAAAATAAAAAAATCTCTTTTAAATAGTGGAAATATATACCCTAATTATTAGACATAGGGAACCCAAATATAATACCATAAACTAATATTAAAATGAATCAAAAAAATTTTAAATGGTTGAAATATATACCCTAAATTGGAAATAGAGAACCCAAATATAATATTTTAAATTTATTTCTAATTTATTTTGGTTGAATAGCTTTTATATAAAAATTGTGATATTATTAAAAAATAAACTAGTGATAATACTTATAGAACAAAAACTTCATAGTAAGTCAAGTAGTGCTATTTTTGGAAGTTTATGGAGTGTGTGCTATTATTGTCTATAAAACTTGTTTTAGTGCTATTTTGGGAACTTCTCTTTTTTTTTTTCTATTTTTAGGCCACATATTTTGTATTTTTTTGAATTATTAGACCACATTGTTTTGCCTTAAGATTTTTTTATCATAGAATTTTATATATACTTATATTTGCCTTAAGCCATCATATACCTTGGCACGACACTGATTTGCTGCTTCACAATTTTTATCTCTTTGGTGTTTTCTTGTAACCAAATCTTCATTCTTGCCCATACAGTTGTGGTCCAGTGGTAGTTGAGAATTGGGGAAATGTTGGAAGGAACTAACCCAGGTTCGATCCACGCTGAAAACAAAAAACACATTTGTGTGGGAAGTCTGGGCTTGGGCCAAAAGGCCTAAGCAGTTTACCTGGTAGTCCAGTAACAGGCGATCTGGCTACCTCTGACATTAGTCGGAAAGCATTCCAAACTCAGGACAAACAGTGTGGTGGCCCTTCGGGGAGTAGTCCACTCTGAAGCACTTCAGTGAGTTTCTATCGGGGCTGACCGGATCAGCCGATAGGATTTATCAAAAAAAAAAATATTCATTCTTTTGAAATCGAAATTTGACTTGTCATACTGAAGAAATAAAACCAAAATTTATTTGTGACATATACACATGGTGGTCAAAAATTTAGCGCAAGCCGCATGCAAAATTTTAAGTGTTGCCGATTAAAATAGAAATAGCAGAAGCTTTACTAAGAGTGAGTTACATGAGGAGCCGTAACGGATCCACGAAACGGGGGTGCCATAATCCGACATCTAAAGTAAAGTGATTGCACTTTTCTCCAAATTCCTGTCATTTTCATGTTGTCAAGCGATAAGAGTGTTGGTGACATCGCCACATAGTGATATTACTCCATCCGTTTCAATATAAGTATCGTTTTGACACTTTTCACACAAATTTGTGAAGTCACATTGTTGATTAATATGATATATGAGAAAAATAAATCTTATCATATCAAAATCTAATGTAATAAAATGACATTTATTTTAAACCAAATTATTCTAAAACAACACTGAAAATATAAATAGAGAGAGATAACAAATTTTAATTGGTTGCTACTCTTTGAGAAATTAATTTGCGGGTAAATAGGATCAATCGCAACGCATGCTTGTGTCCGAAGCATAATGTCATCATTTGTTGGTTCCCCTGTCTCGTTCTATCACAAAAACACGTTTTGACAGAAGGGATTCAAAGTGACAATCAAGCAATCAGTTTCAAGATTTAATCTTCTTCTTACCCACTCTCTCACCCTGGCTTTCATCACTTTCTACGGGAATAGGAATCGTCGGAAAAGAAGAAACCGGCCGATGGAGGGTGTGGTGGAGAGAGAGGCGTGGAAGGCTCATGTGGCGATGATCGGTGTGCAATTGTTCAATGGAGGATATCATGTTATTACCAAAGTGGCTCTCAACGTTGGCGTAAACCAACTTGTCTTCTGCGTTTTTCGTGATCTCATCGCTCTCTCCATTCTTGCTCCTCTCGCTTATTTCCGTGACAAGATGACAAGACCTCCTTTGAATCGACAGTTTCTCTTAGCTTTCTTCTTCCTTGGCTTTACAGGGTAATTCAAGTTTTCTTCTTCCTCTTTCTGTTATCTCCATGATTGCAATCATCACAATGTGGTTTTGGTGTGATTAGGATATTTGGTAATCAGCTTTTGTTCCTCATTGGTCTCAATTACACCAATCCAACTTATGCTGCAGCCATTCAGCCGTCGATCCCGGTTTTTACGTTCATCTTGGCTCTCATTATGGGGTAAAGACTCAGATCCAGTCTTTCTCTTTACTTTCTCTCTGACTCTTCCAAACCTAGAAGAATCCATTTTTGTGTGTTGCTGCAGAACAGAGAGACTAAATTTATTCAAGCTAGAAGGTCAAGCAAAGGTAGGAGGTACGCTTATTTGTGTCCTTGGGGCGGTACTGATGGTTTTGTTTCGTGGACCGGCTTTGTTTGGGGAAACAGAGGCTGAGTCCTTGGGTCATGGTGAAACAAGACACACTGAAACATCTGGACACTTCATGTCTGGCTTTTTTAATGGACTTGGAAGATGGAATTTAGGAGTTTTGTGTTTGATTGGGAATTGCACTTGCATGGCTGCTTTTCTTGCTATTCAGGCATGTCATTTTGCTTCAAGATGATCCACACACTTTCAGTTTCAGATATCTTCTTGTCTTTGGACTGACCTCGCATTTGAAACATATATGATCAGGCTCCGGTCTTAAAGAAGTATCCGGCGAATCTTTCAGTCACAGCATACTCGTATTTCTTTGGGACAATGTTTATGGTGACATCTGCTTTTTTCATGACAAATGAGTCGACGAACTGGAGTCTCACAAGATCCGAGTTCTTTGCAGTGGTCTACGCAGTAAGTTCCTCACACCATATGTTTGTTGTATATAGTCTTTGAGCCATTAAATTCTCCAATTGAGTAACTCTGCTGTGTCCGCGGTGCAGGGAGTAATCGCGTCTGCCCTCAACTATGGTCTCTTGACATGGTCAAATAAGATCTTAGGTCCTTCCTTGGTTGCTCTCTATAATCCTCTTCAACCTGCAGCCTCAGCCTTCTTGTCCAGAATCTTCCTTGGAAGCCCTATCTACTTGGGGAGGTTTAAAACTCTCTCTCGTTTTCTCTTAGCTATCCTCAGCCATCGAGGGGATCTGTCTGAAGTTTCCTAACTAACTCGGTTTTTTTCTCCTCCTCTCTTAGCATTTTAGGCGGATGTGCAATCATCGCAGGTCTTTACAGTGTCACCTGGGCGTCTTACAAAGAAAAGAAAGCGGCAGCAGCAACGGGTATGATCCCGATCACCTCAAAGGAAGCTGAACCCTTTATCTATAAGGACCATAAGAACAAACCAATAGGACATCTATTCACAAAATCTCCCATCTCTTCACCAAAATCCGCTGATTAAACAAAAAGTCTGGCTTCTTGAAATTACTTGGGTGCTCCAATGTTTTCTTGACCTTTTGCCGACAAGATAGTGACTATTTTTATTTAACAGTATATATATATATATATATATGCATATACACATCAATGTTAAACAGAGTCTCAGTATCAGGCTCATCTAATTCAAGAACGTGTCTTGGACTTCGATGCACCTGCTTACATGTGACAGAAAAGCTTAATGTCCTCAATGCGAAACCCACTCTGCATATAACTCGAAACCATAGCCTCCAGCAGTTAAACTTATGTGACCCTCCATAGCTCTGAACACCTTCCCGTACATATCAACCAACCCACTTTGAATCAAACCATTTGATTCAAACCTGAGCTTTATGGCATTCACAAACACTCAGCTGCCAAAATCTAGCCCCATAACCGACAAAATATTTTCTAATAAACCCCAATTTGTGGCATAGGGAGTGAACTTGCTTCCCTGATATTAAATCTGCACTCATGGCGCATGCTTTTAGAACACATCACATTATGGTGTTCAACATAGTCACAAAGAAAGAAGTGGCGTTTTGGTAACCATCCATATCAATACAGCTGATAATAACAATTGCCGAGGAATGAAACTCTCTGTACAGCATTTATCCAATATGTTGCGGGCGATGTCCAGGTGATACACAAATCAAAAAGACGGTTGAGAAACAGCAAGGTCGGTCTTACACCAGATTTCATAATGTGGACTTGCAGCTCATAAGCCCCAGTAGCAATCACATGTGTCAGTTGATTCCTGGGCCAGAGAAGTGTATAGATCTTCGGTTCCAGGTGAAGAAAGACAATCCATTAACCCAAGAATGTCGGAGTCAAGCAACATGTACTTTGATTTTCTGGATATGACGTTGGATAATGGTGGATTCTGGGTTTTGGGGAATGGGATCTGCTTGAAGCTTCGCGGTTTCAAAGTTCTGTTTGGGACTCCTGAGAAGAAGTTGACCATGGAGCCAGTTCCAGAGTTTTTATCTGATTTCCACTGCACATTTTTAACTAAAGAACATATTGAACCAAACACATCCACAAGAGGTTTTCTATAGACAATGGCTTCAGAGATACACCATTAATTCAGGGAACAATCTGAGACAAAAATGAAGTCATCAACAAAAGAGATAATTCAGAGGATTTAAGAGCTTTTCTATCATTTATGGTTCTTTATAATTTCTGGGGGACAAAACTCAAGAAATAGTGGAGAAAGCACCATTGGACATGACAAGTAATAAAATTAACAGCATAATTCTCCTTAGTCCTAACATTACATAATGTAAAGTTAAGATCTTCTCCGAGCTTTCTATTATGACTGATAAAACTCGAACTCAGCAAGCAAAATGTTGTTTCATCTCTTCATACCTCTGCATCACTGGATTCTGAATCTTTGTCTTCTCTCCAAGACAGAACTGGATTGAGTGAAGATGACTGGTATGATAAAGATTGCAAGAAGTTGAAGTAAGCATACTTGATGTCGAACTGCATGTCATACCCTGTAAATTAGATGCGGACGTAACTTATTATATCAGGAGAATTGAAAAATACAGGTTTGCCACCTGAAGACAAACCGAAGAAGGACGCAAAACTAGAAATCTTACAATAGTTCACCGCAATGGTATAGCCACCATCTCCTGGGGTTTGACTAACATGGTGAAACCACATGCTTGGCCTGCAATACGCAGATTGATTATGTGTCAGAATCATGACTGGAAAATCCGATTATGTAGGTCTATCACCCATTTCTAGTCTATGTTTCTTATAAAGCAAAAGTAAGACTGAAGTAGGCACACAAGTGATTAAACTTAAGTAGGTCTAAATTGAGCAGAAAAGTTTCTGAGAATTCTAAATCTGTAGAGCAAAGAGATTGAGATTCTTACAAGTAAAGAATCTCGCCAGCCTTGACGGTACAATGAAACGGCTTTGGGCCATTGAAGAACAACGGATACTTCAATATCTCACTTGCTTCTTTCTCTGGCGAAGGGTATGGATCAACACTAGACCAAGGTACATGCCTCACTGGCTCCTCAATCTCAAGCTTGAACACTTCAGTATCCTACAAAGATTCAAACTTTAACTCAACATCACTCAACAGAAACCAAACTCACTGAAACTTATTAATCTGAGAATCTCACAGACTCGGTGGTAAGAGTAATTAGCCGCCGGATATTGTTCGATATAGAGGCGGTGTACATCAGTCGGAGGAAGAAGAATAAAATGTTTCTCCCCTGAAACAACAGCGTATAGATTCTCATAGTGATCTTTATGAAACGAAGTCACGGAGTCATCAGTACCAATCCAAAGGTTCACAGCTTCCGGCGAACAACCAAACGCCTCCGTAGCCCACGCAATCTCACCGTCGCAGTCTAACGCAACCGTCGAATACTCCGTTCTAAAACAATCATTCTGCTGTTGTAAATACCCAACCTTTTGTCCTTTACACGACGATTGAACAGCCTCAAGAGCCTCCGGGAACAAAACTTTCTCAACATGAGCCGAAGCGAAACAAAGATCTCTATCTCCGGTGACGGCGTCTGCGCAGCCGTTAGGAGTGAGATGTAATGAAACAAAGTCATTTGACAAAGCTCCGGAGAGGTAGGCTGGATCTGACCAGAGTTTTAGAGCTGGCCAATGAGAAATAGCGTTGGAGATTACACAAGGCTTGCTCTGAGACACGTAGTCACGGAGAAACTTCACCGGAGACGGTGGTGAATCAAGACGATCGATTTTAGTTCCTAAACTCAATTCTCTTACTTCTCTCCATAAATTTTGTATCTCTTTAGCCATTGACGATAAAAAAAATTGGCGGGATAAAAAATTTGGGGGTTTTTTATACATAACAAGAACCCTAATTTATATTTAACAAAATAAAAAAACTGTTTTTTTTGTTATAAAGTAGGATTTTTGAAATAAATTTGAAGTTTTCGAGAAGAGGAAGAAGAAGATGAGTTGTTCTTATCTGATTTCTGGTGACGCTTCCGTCGTAGCTTCACGGCGGTGGAGTGATGTTTCTTCCCGGCGGCGTTTATTTCTTCCACGGCAATTACTTTGGCAGCCACCACTTTCTTCGCTTACCCGATGCGTCCGATTAGTCGCTAATGTGAATGATAACTTCAGTAAACAATCATACGCGACGAGAAATTGTTTTGCTTCAGTATTTAGTAGAGACGTCGGTGGAAGTAACGGCAATAACGACAACGGAAATGACGGCGGTGATGGTGGAGACGGCGGTTGGTGGTTTAACGGCGGCGGCGATAACTCTGATGACTCTTCTTTCAATTTGAGATATTTCTGCTTTCTTGTATTGGGATTGTCTTGCTTCTTCCATTTCCGATTATCAGCTGCTTCCGCCATAGCTAAAGCTTCGGATTCGGATAGTAGTGGAGATACTGATAAAGAGACGGTTTGGGAAGTGAGAGGAAGCAAAAGGAAGCGACTTGTACCCGATTTTGTCAAAGATGAGTTCGTCTCTGAAGAATCTGCTTTCGAATTATCATCTTCTCTAACTCCTGAGAATCTCCTAGCTCAATGTAGAAACCTTCTCACTCAATTCCTTCTTCCTGAAGGTTTCCCGAATAGTGTAACTTCCGATTACCTCGATTACTCTCTCTGGAGAGGTGTTCAAGGAATTGCTAGTCAAGTCAGCGGCGTTCTTGCCACTCAGGTAGAAAGACTAAGCTTATCATCTCTGTTAGGCATTTTCACAAACACTTGTTGCTCACTTTTTTCCTTGGGGTTGTTTTGGTAGTCTTTGCTTTATGCAGTTGGGTTAGGTAAAGGAGCAATTCCTACAGCTGCAGCTATCAATTGGGTGCTTAAAGATGGAATTGGGTATCTTAGTAAGATAATGTTGTCGAAATACGGACGTCATTTCGATGTTCATCCCAAAGGATGGAGGCTATTTGCTGATCTACTTGAAAACGCTGCTTTTGGTATGGAGATGTTGACACCGGTCTTCCCTCAGTTTTTCGTTATGATCGGTGCTGCTGCTGGTGCTGGTCGATCTGCTGCTGCATTGATTCAGGTTCCCTCAGTCTCTAAAAGCTCTATTTGCATAGCTTTAAGTGCAGCATTCTCTATTGAACTTATTATCATTTACTTGTCTGCAGGCTGCTACTAGAAGTTGCTTCAATGCTGGCTTTGCTTCTCAAAGGAACTTTGCTGAGGTCTACTACAATTTTTATATGGCCTTCTCAACTATTATGGGTGTGTAGTGTATGCATCAACAGCTTCTTTTGTAGGTAATTGCCAAAGGTGAAGCTCAAGGAATGGTGAGCAAGTCAATGGGTATCCTGCTAGGAATAGTGGTTGCCAATTGCATAGGAACCTCTACAAGTCTTGCTCTTGCTGCATTTGGAGTTGTGACAACAATCCATATGTATACCAATCTCAAATCTTACCAATGTATCCAACTCCGGACTCTAAACCCATACCGTGCAAGTAAATCCCACTCCTGCAGACGTCCAATTCATTCAAATCGTCTTACAAAACGAAAAATAACATCTCTCTGTTTACTTTAAAGGTTTGGTTTTTAGTGAATATCTCATCAGTGGCCAAGCTCCTCTAATCAAGGAGGTCAACGATGAAGAACCGCTCTTCCCAACAGTTCGGTTTTTAAACATGAAATCTCCAGAAAAGGTAAAAATGTTCATTCACCTTATTATACACTCTGAGATCTCTTATCAACTAGTTCAAAATCTAAAAACTTTCTTGGATGAACAAAACAAAACTTGATGACCTGAATGATTGATTCTTAGTATCTGCTCTATTCAGCTGCAAGATTTTGTCTTATCATCAGAAGCAAAAGCAGCAGCCGAAGACATAGAGGAACGGCTTCAACTAGGGTCAAAGCTCAGCGATGTTATCCACAACAAGGAAGAAGCAATAGCATTGTTTGATCTGTATCGCAATGAAGGCTACATCCTTACAGAACACAGAGGAAGATTCTGCGTAAGCAATAATATACCTTTTCATCATTATTATCAACCGGAATCTCTCACCATTTTATCTCCTCTTGTAATTGTCAGGTGATGCTCAAGGAAAGCTCAACTCCACAAGACATGCTCAGGTCGTTGTTTCAAGTGAATTATCTCTACTGGCTAGAGAAGAATGCTGGGATCGAACCTGCAAGCACTTACACAGACTGCAAACCGGGCGGTCGGCTTCACATTTCTTTAGATTATGTGCGACGAGAGTTTGAACACGCCAAAGAAGACAGTCAATCAGTGGGTTGGGTCACTGAAGGACTGATAGCTAGACCTCTACCAACCAGAATCCGTCTAGGTCATGATCGTGAACCATTATCTTCTCCTTCCAGCTCATAAACTCAGAGCAAAACCAGGGCCAATGGATGATATATTAGATCCCATTTGACTTTTCGGTATAGATTAGATACATTGTTCTCTGTTCATCTGCCCTTGGAATGTAGTAAGCTTTTTAGAGATTTACATGTCTCTCAAGTCAGAAGATCCCTAAATATCATATTCCAACAAAACAATGTTGCATAGTATATATGTGAACATTATCTCATTGTGGCTTGAGATTCTAATCTGCTTTTTAAAATTCATTGCGACTTACAAACTTACCTGACATTTTTCACATTTGACCCCACAACATTTGGAATGATTAATAATATAACACAACTTGTTTATTTATCAGATCAAACCTAGACTTCTACACTGATCTTTAGCAGGTTAACCACAGTTACAGACACACATACACAAGGCAAAAGAAACAAAAAAAATGGCGAGTTAGCCTTAAGAGATAGAGAGATTTCTGATTCTACTGAACAAAAGGGTATCGAGCAACGTAGAATTCTCTTACACGTGAAGCCCCGTCTCTAGCAAGTATACCTTCGAGATCTCCAATGATCCTAGCCAGCCAAATCTCCAAGTTTCTCTGAACTTCTTTCAAGTTGTTCTTAATCAAATCCAATGACCTCCCTGTGTTCATCTTGGCTTGGCTTAACTGATCTCCTTGATTACTCCTCGTGATTTCCGTCTGCAATGAAACTAGCTTCTGCCCTGTCTCTGATGCCCGCTGCTGAAGCCTGAAACACTCGAGCAGAAACTCGGTTTGTCTTTGCGTCCTGAACTCAGGTCCTAATGTAGCATCACACGGATCACTACTCTGCTGAAAACATAAACATCAGGAAAGGTTAAAAAAGTAACTCAAGAATGCGTTGTAAGCAAATCACACTTAAAGTTTAGAGACTAACCATTCTTCTACATAGATCATCAATCTTCCCTGAAAGAGCTTGATACCTCTTCGCCTGTTTCCTCAACAAAGATGGAACTTTCGAAATGTCACTACGACAAACTTTCTCAAGATTCAGTAATTCCTCTTCAAGCAACCTCAGTTTCGCAGATACACCCGTCCCTTCACTATCAATCTTCCATGGTGATTCCCTTCTATGCAATCAAAGACAAGCTATTATTATACATCACTCATCATCACAATCACACATCCTCAATTCAAAAATTCTCTCTTACCTTGGCACAAAATGCTTCATACGATACACAGATTCCAAAGATTCATATTGTAAATCCTACAAAAACAGAACCAAAACCCTAAAAACCAAAACACAAAATTCTTCACTCTCATAATCAAGAAGCTCAAAATCAAAACCTGGAAAGGAGTAAAATTGGAACTTGGGTTAATCCCATAAGCATTAGGTGATGATGATACAGTGAGGTGATCCACACCATAACGTTCACTAGACTCATCTCCATCTCCTTCTCCATCTTCATCTTCTTCCTCAATCTCTCTTCTAGACATAAACCCAATCATCTCATCTCTCTCACTAACTTCTCTCTCGAGCTCATTGATTCTATTCATGAAATCTTCTCTTTCTTCTTCCATTTCATGAATCCGATTCAACAATCGTTTCTCTTCTTCTTGCCAAGCGTTTCTATGACTTGCGAAGATCTCGACCACACGCGCGTTAGCTTTTGAATCCTCCACGCGCCGAGATTTCATCTGACGGACTTGTTCCTCCGCCGTCGCGAGACGTCGTTTTAGCTCGGTGACTTCAGATGTTAATCTCGGGACTATAGAGATTGCGTCGTTTGGGAGATGAGCTAACATTACTGAGAAGCTTAAACCTAGAAATGATTTTGCTAGTTTCTTCAATTCATCATGCTCTTCTTCTTCCTCAACGAAGCTTCTCATTCTCAATCTCTCTTCTTCTTCTTCTACTTCAGGTTCAGGAACAGTCGCCATTTTTGTGAGCTCAGAAATTCGCAGGAAAAAAGATACTAAGAAAGACAAATTTTTAATATTAATTCTTTTTTTCAATCTATCAGCAAAAACGGTAGGACATTTTTTTTTTTGGCGTATTAGCGAATATAAAATATTTTTAAGTTTGGATATAAATCAGATCATAAAGTTTTTATATTTGATATTGACAGAGACAATGCTACCTAACAAACTTATTATAAATTCTGTATTAAAATTAAAAATTTAAGATCAAATTTTTCTAAAGAGTAATGTAAATTATTATTGTAACTTAGATTAAGAACTAGCCGTTGACAAAAAAAAAAAAAAGATTAAGAACTAGTAGCACATGAAGCTACAAAAAGTTCTTTAATTATCTTACTTTTGATGATAAAGGATCTGATTACCAACTTGGAATATTTATTTTTTTAGCTTTTAGGCAGGTCTGACTTCTTCGTGATGCACTGCTCTCTCCTTCGTCAGATTCATTCCTATAATGTTTTATCAAAACAAAAGTTGAAAATCAAACATATGAACAATATGGGGGTATTCGATCAACTAAATTTAAAAGAATTAAAATTAATAGAAAAATGAAAGATTTTAAAGTAGTTGAAAAATTCAATCCAAATCACACCTTACAAGGTGGGATTTGTTTCTTCACATTTTTGCCTTTGATTTCTATCAAATTCTAATCAAATCATATAAGCATTAAAACAATCTTTACATTGAATAACAATAGAATTTAACAGAATTTTAAAACCAATAAATTGAATAACAGTAAAATTTAATAGAATTCTAAAACCTATAAAGTAATTCAATAAGCAAACAAGTCAGATTGTATAACGCAATTGTTACCTAAGTCAGTTCTGCCACACCATTAAACCATAGTGCATATTTTGTACATAAGTCCTTGAGATCTTTGGGAGCCTTTTTGGTGTGAAATAAGATTATCTCAAACCTGAGACTTTTGATATGTGAGACGTCGGTGCGAAGACGAGAATCTGAAGAGATTAGGAGCACCGGGCTTGGATTACGCTCCAATGCCCATGAGTGCATAGCCTTCCCCAATTCATAATCGGGAAAACCTTTGTGGTTTGCATTTGATTTCTTCTTGGTCTTCGTAGGCGGTTGTGAGATATGAACCTCAACACCGGATCTTCGAAGCATATCGATGGCTCCTCCATCAAGTGCCTTGGATTGGACAAAGAGATCGAAAGTATAAACTCCAAGATAGCCCAAAGCTTTGAGAGCGGTGTTGATGTAACCGTAGATATGTTGTGGACGAAGATGATCAATGGGACAAGTAAGATCCTAGAAAACCTAATAAATTAGAGAAAGTATCAGATTGATAAATTAAAAAAAGTCAAGACCTAAAATAGAAATATTGACAAAAATTAAGAATTGATTAATTACCGGGACAAGGAGATTGGCACGCATAGGAATAGGTAGAGAAACTCTTCGACGAGGAGGACTCGGCGGTGGCTACAGCATAGAGATCCAACGTGCGTTTCGATCAAGGAGTAAACCTCGAGCAAGATTCTCCCATGATAAAAAAGTTGGCAGACTGCAGAATTCTTCAGAGGCAGACCCATATTGTCTGCGAGACTGCGAGTTAGGTTTTGGACCATTTTAAAAAAGTCTCAATCCGAGGTTAGGAGCAGAATAGCAGCAGGAGGGTCACGCGCCTCGACCCATTATAAAAATAAAATCAAATATTTTTAAGTTGGATATAAATCACATCAAAAAGTTGTTATATCTGATAATGACAGAGATGATACAATGCTACCTAACAAACTCATTATAAATTCTGTATTAAAATTAATAATTTAAGATCAAATTTTTCTAAAGAGTAATGTAAATTATTATTGTAACTTAGATTAAGAACTAGTAGTTGACAAAAAAAACGATTAAGAACTAATAGCACATGAAGCTACATAAAATTCTTTTATTGTCCGACTTTTGATGATAAAAGATCTGATTACCAAAGAATATTTGTTGGAATATTTATTTTCTTAGTCCCGAACCTGAGCTCGAACCACCAGACCCTGGTCCTAAACCATAACTAGAATATTGACCGGAACCATAACCATCATTTCTTAGAAACCGATCAGGACAAACCTCCTCATCAGAATCCGAATCTTTCTCTGAGGATGATGATTCTATTGAGTATGCTTTAGCTATAGAATTCTTTGGCTTATTGGCAGGTCTGACTTCTTCCTCTGATGCACTGCTCTCTGCTTCGTCAGATTCCTAAAATATTTTATCAAAACAAAAATTGAAAATCAAACATATGACATTCCTCCACTTCTTAGAGCTGAGTGTCAAAAACCCAAAACTAGAGCCGGTCTATGGTAAAAGCCACCAAAGCAACCGTTTACGACATCATTGAAAACATGGAATTCGTTTTTGGAATATTGGTTATATGTGCACATTTTGTCTATATCATATAGTATTATTTATTTTTTAAGTTAATGTTTTGCTAATGTGTTTTTTTTTTTTTTTTGACATCTTTGGATCGACAAGGCCCGATCCATAGCCAATCCTTACTACGCGGGGTAACGCGACTTAGTGGAGTCGAACTCCGGTGGGGAAGGCGGAGTCAAATGGACTTAACCACTTGACTAAAGGCACATCTCCAGTTTTGCTAATGTGTTTGTTTTTCATATATTTAAAGATTTTAAACCATGTATTATTTGGTAAAGTCACGTGGATCCACTACTTTCCGTAGGTGTATGAAATAATTTAAACAAAAAACTTACAAATATTAGTTTTGTAATCTTAAAATGAAATATATATATTGGTGGTGTTAAAAATAATAAAATGAGGATTTAACCTGTATTGCAGCGGGTTAATGATATTTTAAATTTTTATTAATATTGATTCAAATTCGTTCCGCATATAACCATATCCCGCCATATGACCCCATCCCGCCATATAACTCCGTCCCGTAATATAACCCGTCCCGGTTACTTTATAAATGTTAAATATATCAATTATAATATTTAAAACTTTTTAAAAGTTTTAAATTTAACATTTCCATTAAATTAAACAGTTTAACTAAAAAACTGAATTAAACCGTATACAAACTTTTATATGTGGATGCTTGTTAGGTTAAGTTTCCTGCTAATTCGGATTTCGATTCATTTTGATCTTATTTATAATATGACTTATAATCATTGTCTAAACATTTTAGCCGATGTGGGACGTTGAATATATATATATTTTTTATTAATTAGGTAATATTTGTCTCTTTTTAAAATTTTGAATCACAATATATGCAGCAAAAAAATTTAAGATTTTTTTTAAACTTTATATATTGTATGATTATACAAAACAGTTAAAAACAAATCAAACAAAAATGATAGGAAAATCATAATTTTAAATCTTAACCAAATCTTTAAATATTTATATCATTAAATATGGAATATCCGGTTTATATTTTTGGATATGTTTTGATCCAATCCAAGTTAAATATGGAATTTTCGAGTCGATACCAAATTTGTCTGATCACAATTTAACCCACTCGCTGACATACTATAGAGATATATATATTGAGTAGTTGTTTTCTGAACTAATGAGGATGGACCATGTAGATAAAGAGAGGCTTCATCTCTTGAATGCAACAAGAAGATCAAGAAATCATATCACGGACCCGACCAATCTCCACCTCCCAAAAGCACATGATTTCATCTGTCCCCAAACAATTATCTCTCATTTGCATTTAGATTTTTAGACGTGATTAGGTTTAAGTTGCGGCTGCAATGGTTTCTTCCTATGAATTTGCTTGTCAACATATAAAAATGGATGATTAAAAGCTAAATTCGAGTTCCCAAATCTTTCATTTTTTGCTGACAAACAAATAACAAGAGTCTAGAAGATGAAGAAACATTTGCAACACACATTCTATATCCAATCTAATGTAGAGAACAAACTTTGATCATTTTGTTTTAAGGCCCAATAAGCGTTGACCTAAGAAAAAAAAACATAGCACGCTTTACTAGGACAGCGTTTCGCTGACGCTAAACGGCGTCGTGTCACAAAATGTGGAAGAGGGAAATGAAAAACTCCTCCCGCTATAATTTGACAAACATTTTGGAAAAATTCGTATGTCACGCGGATCGACTCTATGAACCGTTGATTAAGATATAATCAACGGTCAATACACATTCTTAGTATTCACCGAGATTGAGATCACTTTACTTTTATGACTATATAAACCCACTGCTCTCCTATATCATCCACATCTCAACAAATATTCATTCTCAGAACAATTCAAATTCAATTTTTTCGAGAAAAATCAAAGTTTCCTGAGAAAATGTCAGGTCGTGGAAAGGGAGGCAAAGGATTGGGCAAAGGAGGAGCCAAACGTCACAGGAAGGTTCTAAGAGACAACATCCAAGGAATCACTAAGCCGGCGATTCGGAGATTGGCTCGTAGAGGTGGCGTTAAGCGTATTAGTGGTCTGATCTACGAGGAGACACGTGGCGTACTCAAGATCTTTTTGGAGAATGTTATTCGTGACGCCGTTACTTATACTGAGCACGCTCGGAGAAAGACGGTGACTGCTATGGATGTCGTTTATGCTCTTAAGAGACAAGGAAGAACTCTCTATGGATTCGGCGGCTAGGGTTTTTGATTGTTGTTTTTGTGTTTTCTACGCTGCTTAGAAATGTTAATTTTCAGAATTTGGTCTTAACACCGAAAAAATTAAAAAAAAATGAAGGATGTTGTTGCAATTTCGTCATTGTAGTCTTGATTGTGTGATTCGCTTTCAGTAATTTTACAGTTTCTCTATGCTTGTTTATTAGTTTCCTTTGAACACGACGCAATAGTGAATCTCACAAGTCCAAATGTCTTGGTTAGAGATAATAACCGGATCGGTTTAAATAGCCTTTGACGCGAACATTTGCTGTATACATCAAGAACGTAAATCAATTTATTTTTGGTTTAGAAATACTAACCGGATCGGTTTAATTGAATTACTGATGAAAATCTGTCTTCTGAACCGGATTTGCTAAAATTAAATTTAAACCGAATTATTTTGGGTTTAAAACTAAATTTCAAAAATTGTCAAATCATATAACCTCTCCGATGTTCTAGAGAGAAGGAGAAGAAGCTTGGAATGGAATCAGCTCTTGACGTGAATCTGATCGGAAATTTTCTTGATCCTCGAGAAATGGGAGCTTCGGGAAGTGAAGACACCGTAGTGATAGAAATGGGGAAGAAGATTGGAGATGCTCATGTAATCACCGTGAATTGTCCAGATAGAACTGGTTTAGGTTGCGATATTTGCAGAATCATCCTCGATTTCGGTCTCTACATCACAAAAGGAGGTACGATTCTTCAATAATCCTGATCTTGTTCTCTGTAATTTGAGTAGAATTTGCTTGAGATACCTTGAATTTGGGAAATCGATTTAAGGTCTGATTATTTTGGAGTGTAGATGTGACAACAGATGGAGTATGGTGTTACATAGTATTGTGGGTGGTTCCTCATTATGATACTCTTAGATTGAGATGGTCACATTTGAAGAATCAGCTTGTATCTGTATGTCCTTCTTGTTCAACCTACTTTGTGCTCAATTTGATGTCGCCTTGTCCCGCATCAACGCCTGTTTACTTGTTGAAGTTCTTTTGCTTAGATCGGAACGGACTCTTACACGGTACTACTGTGCTTATCGTCTTATGTGTTGAGTTTTCTTATGAGTGTGTGTATCTTGATTGTGTGAGAATCTTGTTTTTTTCAGATGTTACTCAAGTACTAACTGAGCTTGAGCTCTCTATTCAAACCGTGAAGGTGACTACGACGCCTGATGGGAGAGTTTTGGATCTTTTCTTTATAACAGATAACATGTGAGTGAGTTAGTTAATCTGCTTCTTAAGAGTTTCTGTTAAGTATTCGAATGGTGATTAGTAGTAGTGTTTATGATTGTCTGTTAGGGATCTTTTACACACAGAAAAGCGCCAAGAGGAGACACGAGGGAAGTTTCGTTCTGTCTTGGGAGAATCATGTATAAGCTGTGAACTTCAGTTGGCTGGTCCTGAGTATGAATGTCATCAGAATGTTCCATCTCTATCTCCAGCAGTGGCTGAGGAATTGCTTACGTCTGAGCAGTTCACCGCTGAAGACAACCGTGCACAGGTTCTTAGTGACGATATGACAAAGCTGAAGAATGTCAGTGTTACATTTGACAACTCCTTAAGCCCGGCTAACACTTTACTCCAGATACAATGCGTTGATCACAGAGGCCTTCTCTATGATGTATTAAGAACCTTGAAAGACTTTGACATTAAGGTAAATGCAAAACCATCTTTGATCAGATTTCAAGATATTATTACACTGCTTTTCTTTGTGTGTTATCTCACTTTGGTGTTTTGTTTCTGCAGATATCTTATGGCAGGTTCTCACCTCAAACACAAGGTCATTGGGATCTAGACCTCTTTATTCAGCTGAAAGATGGGAACAAGATCGTGGATCTTGATAAACAAAATTCGCTATGTTCACGTCTGAAAGCTGAAATGCTTCACCCTTTACGTGTTATAATAACAAACCGAGGACCAGACGCTGAACTTTTGGTTGCTAATCCAGTTGAGCTATCTGGTAAAGGCAGGCCAAGAGTGTTCTATGACGTTACCCTTTCACTAAAAGTGCTTGGAATCTGCATTTTCTCGGTAAGAAACAAAATCTATTAACAGAAATCTTGGAATCAGTGAGTCTGACTGTGAACTTTGTTGTCTTTTTAACAGGCTGAAATAAGAAGGTACACGGCTAGTGGCCGAGAATGGGAAGTGTATAGATTTCTTCTTGATGAGAACTGTTTGTTTCAGCTCGGTAGTGCTTCCGCTAGGAATGAGATTGTTAATAAAGTGAGAAGAACATTGATGGGTTGGTAAATTAAAGAAATGTACAGAGAGGTAATTATGTACTGCTATGTAATATGGTATGCCTTTGGTTATGTCATATTGCTTATAGGTTCATGTAAATGCTTTTACCCGTTTGGCTGTTGGTAAATCCTCAAACAATCATGGAATCCCATACATATCGAATAATTTCTTATGAACAAGATAGTGAGAAATTTAGGAAATTGTAGCTTTAGCTAAATTTCGAATCTCTAATAATTACATAGTTTTGGCAATAAGGGCACACATATATTCCATAACATAAGGCACTAATTAATGATAACTAGGTATAGTTTCTCATAGAGGATAGTTGGAGGATAATGACAACTAGGTATAGTTTTGGCAAGATAATCAACTTCTTTGTTTGCTCTCGGTCAGATTTATTGTCGAGATTTGTGTGGTTGTTTTGGGATTCAAATTCACTTATGTTTTTTTTCTTTTTGTCATCCAAAATTAAATAGTGCTCAAAATAACATTCAAATTCACTTTATGTTATCTTAAACTAAATATTTCTAAATTCTTAGTAACAGAACTAATTTATATTTATATTATGTTGGTCTATAAAGACTTGTGATGTGGATGTGTCACAAAGGTTTCGTGGTGTAGTTGGTTATCACGTCAGTCTAACACACTGAAGGTCTCCGGTTCGAACCCGGGCGAAGCCACTATCTTTTTTTTTTTTGCCATTATCTTTTGTTTACAGTCTCTGTTCTTCTCTGTTTTTGCCTCAATCGTTAAAACCATCTATTTTGTTGTTATATATCTTGATTTTAGTACATACAAATACGATTCATCATAATATATATCTCTGCTCGTTATAATTTATAATTAAATCACCTTAAAATATTCTAACATAAGTGATTTTCTGATTGAAATTCTTTCAAATAACTAACTGTAAATTTCTAACTGATTAAGGTGATTAGTATTGAAGTTACTTGTTAAGTTAGACAAGAGACGAGAGAGCTAGTCACGAATGTGTTAGGCTGTGAAATCATATATTCTCTCTCTTTGGGTGACCAAACCCTTGTTTTGACTAACTCTCACATGTAAATTAATGAGCGCCATTAGTACTAGCCATTTTCCAAGATATGTTGAAGTCCTTACCCACTAGTATCTCAAGGCCCTTAAGCTCAACCATGAAGCTCTTACTCTCTCCTTTATCTTCCGAACCCACCACATACTTCTGATCCTTGGAGCTTACCTCAATCCTCTTGGTCTCGTTGGAGATTGGACTTCCATTAAGATGTATTTAAGAAACTTGCTCTGTTCCTTCAAGTCCCAAAACAATCACTCTCTCAATCACCAAACCTTGTCTCAACGCAAAACTTACCTTCTTTCACTTGAGACCATATCTTCACACTCTCATCCAACCGATGCGTAGAAGTCAACGTATGTTGACTGTCCGTTTCCAATTTTCATCTCTGGAAGTTCATCATCGTCAAGAAAGAGTTTCCCGGTGGCGTATCCCTCTGATGCTCTAGCCGGGAAAGTGACGACCAGACTAAACGGAGTTGTTCTCGCCTCTTTGGAATTTAACCGACCTTGTTGCATTGGTAATATCGTGTTCTGGTAAAGATGCACGTTCACAACGTTCAACGGAGCTGGGAGAGTCACGCGCTTCCCGTTCTTGGAAACAACGACCTGAGTCATGTCAAAAATGTGGTACCAAGAACCTGGTGGGAACAGAGCTTCAACTTGGGTTTTACCTTGTTCAAGAACTGGTGATATCATTAAGCTGCTTCCGAGCAAGAACTGTTTGCTCAAACCGTAGCACTCGGTGTAATCAGGGAAAGAGAAGAAGAGCGGTCTAGCGATTGGTGCACCCGTCATATGGGCTTCATAGTTGAGAGTGTAGAGAAAAGGAAGGAGTTTGTATCTCATCCCAAGAGCGTTACGAGCTGACTCTGCTACTGTTCCCCATTGGTAAAGCTCTTTTCTTGGCGCATAGTAATCGGCATGATCTCTTGAAAAGGGGTAAAACGCACCGACTTCAATCCAACGGTTGCAGAGTTCTTCTGGTGTTGGAGGAAAGAATCCACATATGTCTGAACCAACCATAGGAACTCCAAAAATTCCGAAGTTCAACATCGTTGAGATAGATACTTGCAAGCTCTGCCATGTTCCCTGGTTATCTCCAGTCCAGTGAGCAGCATATTGACCTGAACCAACAAAAGTGGACCGTGACAATATGAAGGGACGTTTGCCTTGGACATCAAGTAAGGCCTTATGGGTCGAGATGGCCTCAGAGAACCCGTAGATGCTGTGAGCGTCGTACTCACGAACACCATTGTAGTGATAAGCACTTGTGGGAATAGTCTTGAATCCAAGAGGAGCTTTGTTTCCAGTAGCATTGATCTTGTAAGGTGGATCATCCCATCTCGTATTGGTTATATTCTTGCAGTCCAAGCAACACGTCACACCAGGTTCTCCCCCACTCGGACACTGTTTCCCCTCCGGGATTGTGCACAATCCAGAGCAGAAATTGGAGACCTCATTCATGTCGATCCAAAGACCATCAATGGGGACTAATTCATGGAAACGTCGGATTTCATCACCCCACCAAGACACCGTTTTTGGGTTGAGGAAATCAGGGAAGTAAACCGGACCAGGCCACATTTGAGCCAAGAAAGGCTTTCCTTCATATTTAATGAACACATCATTAGCCATGCCTCTTTGGTAAACACCGTAGCTCGCGTTGACACCAATACCAGGATCATTTATCACAACATACTTCATTCCCATCTTGTGGATTCTATCCAAGAAAGCCAATAGCTTAGCATGAGGAAAGTTCACAAGATCCAATGTGAAGTCCTTGTAACCATCCATGTAATCAGCATCGTTCCAAATCACATCAAGAGGGATCTTAGCCTTTTGATAATTATCCACCACTTCTTCAAGAACTGATACATTACGGTATCCCCATCTACATTGATGAAACCCTAGAGAAAATAATCATGTTAAAGATTAGTAAGAAAACACATAATTTACATAGAACAAAAATTTGGGATATTAGTACCTAGAGACCAGTACGGCATTGGTGCTGGCCTTCCGATTAACGAAGTGTATTGATCAACGACATTGAGAGGCGACGGTCCAGCAAAGAAATAGAAATCGAAAACACCTCCAATTACCTTGTACGTCAAGGAACCGCCTCTGTAAAGCACATCCATACCATTACTGTTGAGAAGCAGAACAGAGTGTGCGTAGGATTTACCTCTAACGTTTCTCAAATCCATGTAAACAGGGTGTGACCCGTAAAGATCGGTGTTGAGTTTAAACGCCGAGACGTCTTCAGTGAAAAGAGTGTAAGGCTCATTAGGAACAAGCTTGATTCCATTGGGTTGTGAGTTTTCACCAAATCCATACAGAGACGAGTCTTTGGGTAGTGAAGTTGAGATCTCAAGGTACTGATCCTTGAACACCATCTCTCCGAAGTTCTCATCAGAGCTACTAGTGTTGAAAATCGTCTCGCGGTTGGATCTTCTTCTCACGGCGAAGCTGAAAGGATCTGTGGTGAAGCTCAATATCAACTCCGGTCCGGATATTTCCTGTACCGTAACCGGAGATTTTCTTGATTTTCCGATTACTCTCGGTGGTTGTTCTCGGCGGAGGAGATTGTACGGAACTTCCCATCGTTGTCTCTTTGCGTCTGTTATGTGAACACGAAGGCGATGATCCGTTTCGTGCCTAGAAAAAAAAATCCAACCGTTAGACATGGATGATTAATGTTGGCTGCAAAACAGAGGATATAAAACTCTATACTTGATGAAGAGTCGAAGGATGGTTATATCAGAGCCATAGATTTTGTTACTCTGCTTCACTTGGAGAAAGCCAATGAAGCCACCATCATCGGGAGACTTCTCAATGGAGATTAGACGGTAGCCTTTGCCGATGGCGTTGGAACACCGGAGAGATGAGAAGCAGAGGATAATAGCCACAAGAAGAGAAAGAGAAGAAGCCATTGTTCAGTTGGGTAGTGATACTTTCTACACTTAACACACTATAATCTGTACTAATAAGAAATGAAGGAGAAAGAGACATTTTCATTTATCACAAGATGTTAAACGTACCTACTTTAATGTTACATCATTACTCAATTGAGTGGGCTTGTAAATGATTACAGTACAAACTTGTTTCTATCTTTATATAGTATGCTAATAACTCAAATTATGTATAGTCGATTAAAAACTAAAGTTGATTTTGCACAAATTATAGAAATAATCAAGATTTTTATCATCCTCATTAGCTTAAAAACCAAAAAGAACAATTTCAACATAACAACACAAATTGTCACCATAGAGACATCAGACATTATCCATCTCCAAATTCATCGATAAAACTTCAGAGTTTGTCAGAAAATCAAAGATTTGATCAAGATCATCAAACTCTTGATTGTACTCATTGAAGTTTCCAAGTAAACCGTTGTTGTTGCTGTTGGCAGAAACCGCTAGGGTTTGCTCTTCCGTGTTCTTATTCACAGTTACGTCATCTTCAACGCAAACACTTGCAGAACACGGTTGAATATTTAGGGTTTGCTTTTGCTTTTCCAACTCCTTCAGATCTCGCAACATGGTCGACATTGAATCCATCGCCTCTCTCAACTCCTCCAGATTCTCTGATATTACAAGACTCTCATCTTCCCACCAAAACCCTAACTTTTCATCGCAAGGACGCTGATTCTCGAGAAAAGCAGAAACAACACTACCACAGAGGGTGGCCAAAAGTGTAGTAAGAAGCATTAGAATTAGAAGAAACTGGAGTCGCTATGATCGCAATCTCTGCGTCGGAGAGAAGACAAAGCTCAGAAGCCTTACTATAAAGACCCTTACGACGTTTTGAGAATGTAACCGCTCGTGAATCTTTCTTCTTTATCTTCTTTATAGCAATCTTGCTCTTCACACCACCCATTATGTTTTTTTCTCAAATTCACAAACAGAGAACGAGACGAGACTAATAATTTTTTGTGTTTGCCTGTTGTGAAAGAATATGATTATGGACTCACTCTATTTCTTATCAGATTATATATAGACTTTAGTTTGAAAGAATATTTCTTAGGAAATACTCTAAGCTTGTTACTAAAACAAGATCAGTCTCATTATTTTTCATATAAACTCGATCGAAATAATGTTATTAAAAAAGAAACGTAATAAGGTTTCTTCAATGTGACATGGTTAAAGTCTTAAACAGAAAGAAACTAATAACTTTTTTTCAGCCGCTCTTTATTATCCTCCTGCCTACGCGATCATACTCAACTTGTCTTTCACTTTGTCCAAGCAAAAGCTCCATCGGAATATCATCTTTTGCAGCTGCATTCCCATACTTTGCCATGATTGTGTCTTTTATCTGATTATTCAGTTTTTCCTTTGTAACCTTAACCCTCTTATAACACAACTCAGCTTGAGATGGAGCCGCTTGCATATGTATGTCTTGTCCTTTGCCAAATGCTTCACATGAATACATGTTTAGTTGTTTGAACTCTAGAGCTTGGCCACTGTTTCTATATTGATTATCTCCCAAACAAAATTTCTCATTTGGATTTGCATCTGGGAGCGGATCTTCACGCATGGATCGAGATTTAGGGTCATAATAAGCTGAGTTAACATCAAGGTTCAACAAGTATTTTGCAGTATCTTCTCTAATACGCAGATTCCTTACAGTTCCTGTGCTTCCACCATCAGTTGTTCGTACACGTTTTTTAACCTTTGCAAAATCCACCTGCTTGCTCTCATCAACCCTTAAGTCTTCTTCCTCTCCATCACTGGTTGCATCATTATCCTCTAGTTTCTTAAGTTGTTGCTCCTTCAAGTAATTCTCTCGTGCATTCTCTTTTGCTTCATAAAGATCTCTCACATGACGATAAGACGAAGGATCATAACCATTCCATCGGTCTCTCTTACCATCATAATCAAATTCAAGACTCTCGATTTTCTCATCAGGTGCAATATTCTTGTTTGTGTATTTTGCACCAACCTTACGAGGTCTTTCTATACATGTTTTCATATCATGTGTCATTGCACCACAGTTTTGACACGCTCCTTTGCGATATTTTTCGGCTTGATAAGTCTTTGCACCTCTGTCATAATATGCTTTTGTGGAAACGGGTTTAGTTTTCCAATTCTTTTGATGCTTCAAACTCGGTTTTTCAGACTTGGCATAGAATGGAGGAGATAACAAATACTTAGCTATGTGAGGATTGATTTCCTTTCCATTCTCGTCTACCTCAGCCGGAACAAGCCCGGCTTTTCTAGCTTCGTCTAATTCTTTTTGCTTCCTACGATCTTCCCTAGACTTAAAAGCAACTGAAGCCGTCGCCATTGTTATATCAAGGTTCGAAGGATGAAGCTTGTTGGGATTTGTGGTAAGAAACTAAGAACCCTAAATCTTTCTAAGTAGAAGAAAAGAAAAAATAAACTCTAGAGAAAATCTCTCATGAGCATACATATAAAAGCTAAATCTTAACATATTATTCTAGGAAAGTCTCTTCAACCGCAAAAAGGAAAAAAAAACTACTGAAATTGCTAATTTAACTAAAACATAATTGTAAAATTTCCCTTTTCTTATTGTCGACTGTTGCTTGCTCTTCAATTAATCCAAGTCACGCCCTTCTCACATGTCTTCTTCAATTCCTCTTTCCTTAGATTTTGTTTATAATCTAAATCCCTGGTTTGTCTAAACGTGCTTATTTGCCGTTGAAACAACAGTCTCTAAAGAGAATGCTAAAACAAATACTCATAAGCAAAACTAAAATGGGACAAAAACAATTAGCATAAAAGTATGTATTAGGCAAAAAGGTTTCGTGGTGTAGTTGGTTATCACGTCAGTCTAACACACTGAAGGTCTCCGGTTCGAACCTGGGCGAAGCCATTGTCTCTAATTTTTTTAATCTTTCTTACAGATTAATACTCTTGAATATACTAAGCCAAAGAAGACATGTGTGTTTCTTTTATTTTGATATGCATCAGTTTAAATCAGCAATTGATATAGAATCGAGGCAAATCCTAATCTTATATTTTGTATAACCCGAACAATGAAACAAAAGAAAAGGATAGAGAGGAAGAAGTATGAAGATATCTTCACATGTGGTAATCAATGCCGTGGATATGACAGAGTCTTTCTCACATGGATTGTTTAATGGTTACCCGTCTGTTGAATATTTGAAGATTTCATATATTGACTGATCAAATCAACAATTTAACGAACAAACTTTTTTCACATGATGATTGATTTATATATACGATAATACGAACACAAGTAGATAGAGTTTGGTGATATAACACTTGAAATAAGGAGAATCTAACGCTCTACATCTACTTATTATCTTTGTAAACTTTATACCCTAGTTTGTTAATTAGTGGCAATGAGTTGTTATGGACTAAAACATAACCCCTTTTAAAGCTTTTGTAGATCTCGTTTCCTTTTGACTATTAACACCAATATAAAACCTTTTAAAAAGAGCAAAAAGAGAGTATTCAATTTGAAGAGCACAAAAAAGTGTGTAGTAGACGAAGTGCTGAAAATTGTACAAAAAGAAAGAAAGTAAAATTGTTTTTCGCATTTGTTCTTAAAACCACTCTTTTCGGTTGCTTCTCTACTATTAAATCCATTCTTAACTTGATAAGACGTGTTTATTCACTGATTTTTAAGAGAAATTGCCATAAATGGCACTAAATGTTTTTGTGACACACATAGCATCTAAATGTTTTTGTGACACACACATATCATTTCTCCTTTATTTTTAATTATAACCAATAATATAATTAAGAGAAAATGCACGACCATCGACAGCCATTTCCGATGAAGCTTCCGAGCTCCGACGACATTTCTGACGAAGCTTCGAGCTCTGATCTGCATTTCCGACGAGGCTTCATAGATTTGATCTTCAATCAGTTATTAAATCGATCTCTTTCTCCAGAAATTTCCAATTTCTTCATCTTCTTCTTCACCAATTTTGTTGACAAAATTAGACGAGTACTGTTGTTTAATGGCGTTCTTCTTCACCATTGTTGTTTACTGTTGTTTAATGGCGTTCAATTTGTGAATTGATTCGTGAATTTGTTGATTCAATTGATTTTCAACACCTATGACATATTTATAGGAGTATTATGTAAATAATGATTAGTTAAAGTCCTAACTGTAATTTCCTAATCTTAGCTTAACCCTAGTCCTTCTCTAGAGTCTGTATAAATATGTGTAAACAACATTCTCTCATTAATTAGATTAATACAATCCTTATATGGTATCAGAGCTAACGTTCCTCTAAACCTAAAACCTTCAAATTTTCTTTCCAGCCGTCGTCGACACCATGTCGTCCTCTTCCAACACGCACGATGTCACCATCTCTCTCAATTCAAACGCCATTGTTCACATCAACATGGCTAACATTTCTAAACTCACCGCTGACACTTACCTCACCTGGAAACTTCAGGTCCATGCCCTTCTTGATGGGTATGACCTCGTCAAGCATCTCGATGAGTCTATAGAAGTCCCACCAGCCACTGTTACGGTTGGAACCACCACTTCACCCAACCCAAATTTTGCAAAATGGCGACGTCAGGACAAGCTTATTTACAGCGCTCTCATTGGGACTATCTCCACTCCGCTTCAGAAACTTGTGGCTCGCACCACCACTGCCGCAGAAATCTGGACAAAGCTAGCCTCCACATATGCCAATCCGTCTCGTGGTCATCTCCTTATTTTGCGGGATCAACTCAAGGTGATGAACAAGGGAACCAAATCGATTGACAAATACATTCAAGCTTTCACTGCTCGCCTTGACCAACTCGCTCTCCTTGGTAGCCCTATGGAGCACGAGGATCAAATCGAGCTCATCCTTAATGGGCTTCCCGAGGAATATCAGCCTGCCATTAATCAAATCCAAGGAAAAGACAAAACCCCTCAGATCACGGAAGTTCATGAAAGGCTTCTTAATCATGAAGCCCGACTTCTCACCAAGCAAGCTGCGGCAACATCCACATTTCCAGTCTCCGCCAACAATGTCCAACAGCGCACCGGCTACAACAACAACCGCAACAACTCCGGCAAACGGAACAACACCAACAACAACTCGTGGCAGCCATCACAGTACCAAAACAAACCCGACACCCGTTCTTCCAAACCCTACTTAGGCAAGTGTCAATTGTGTAATACACAGGGACACAGTGCTCGCCGCTGCCCGCAACTCAATGCTCTCCAAGCATCCGCCGGTGCTCCTCCGAGCTCTCCATTTCGCCCGTGGCAGCCACGCGCGAATCTTGCGATGGGTTCCACGTATCCGGCAGCTCCTTGGCTTCTTGATTCTGGCGCGACTCATCACCTCACATCCGATCTTAATAACTTGTCGCTTCATCAACCTTACAATGGAGGTGATGATGTTCTAATTGCTGACGGGTCTACCATGGCAATTACACACACGGGTTCTTCGCTTCTTCCTAATCAAACTCGTGCTTTACTTCTTGATAAAATACTATGTGTTCCTGATATACAGAAAAACCTTATCTCGGTTTATCGTCTATGTAACACTAACCGTGTGTCGGTTGAATTTTTTCCTGCATCCTTTCAGGTGAAGGATCTCAGCACGGGGGTCCCATTACTCCAAGGCAGGACTAAAAATGAGTTGTACGAGTGGCCGGTGACATCTTCAAAACCGGTAGCAATGGTGTCTTCTTCTGGTCATAAAGCTAGTCTCACATCTTGGCATTCAAGATTGGGACATCCCTCTTCGTCTATTTTAAATTCAATAATTTCCAAGTTTGCTATTTCCGTTTCATCTTCTTCTCCAAAACAATTATCTTGCTCCGATTGTCTTATTAATAAAAGCCATAAGCAACCTTTTTCTCAAACCACTATTGTTTCCAACCGACCACTTGAATACCTTTTTACAGATGTTTGGACCTCACCAATTCTTTCTGTTGAAAACCACAAATACTATCTTATTTTGGTTGATCATTTCACTCGCTACACATGGCTTTATCCACTCAAACGTAAATCGGATGTCAAAGAAATT